ATAAATGTTCCTTTCGAACAGCAATGTCTAATACTCAGCAGTAAAGATACAATTTTAAAGTCCTATAAAACCAGTGATTTGGAATCGTACAAAGTAGTCTTTAACTTTGAAATCTAGTCAGCAAACACAAGTCTTGAAAGTGCCTCGGACACTTCTGGTCAATAAAACGGAAAATAGCAACAGGATGAAACTTTGTCCATGATTCAAAGATGCTCATTTATGAGTTAAAGGGGAAGGTTTATTTTGTAAGGAATGTGATTGAAATTTGTCAATTTAAATTAACTTGTTTAATTATTTGTTTAATGAACAAGTTTATCAATTTGTACAAATTAGCACAGTTAATGAACAGTTTTTTTCAAGAACTGAGATCTGAGTATTAATTGAGTTATATAAACAAATTTTTCCCAATGTCATTCCCTTGTTCAAGTGTGGAAAATTAAATGGAATGAAATTACAGGTAAAGCAGCTTTAAAGATAGAATTGCTATTATTCTTGTGTTGTTGTTGTGTTACTATCTATTGAACAGTTTTTTGCAGCATCTCGGAGCACTTAACAGTGGCGGAGCCTGACAGCGAGCTGGGGCGAGGGAGGATGTGACCATTAGAACGGTCGAAGAGAAAGGTCTTCACTCGTGATCTAAAAGAAGCGCAGGAGGGGGAAAGGCAGAGGGATTGGGAGAGAGAGTTCCAAAGCTTTGGGGCGCAGTGGCTGAAAGTGTGGCCGCCAATGGTGGAGCGGAGGGGACGAGGGACAAGCAGGAGGCCGGAGCCAGCCGAGCGGAGGTAGTGGGGGGGGGTGGAGTGGGGAGAAAGCAGGTCAGAGAGTTAGGAGATGCCAGGGCTTGGAGAGATTTGGAGATAAGTGAAAAGATCTTGAAAATCCATCCATTCTGTGACAGGGAGCGGGTGGAGCCTGGCGAGGACTGGTGTGATGGGGGTGCGGAGTTTAGTGTGGGTGAGAATATGGGCTGCGGAGTTCTGAATCAGCCATGAAGTGAATATGTTGCAGCCAATTTGTACTTAGCAATGTCTCACAAACAGCCGCAAAGAGGATGATCAGTTTTATCTGGGGGGATTTTTGCTAGAACACAGAACACCACATTTCTAACAATAACAGCTCTCACCAAGCAATACATTAGAGTGTCAGTCTAGAATAGGAGTTCAGAGTCCTGATAGAATCCATAACCTTCTTACTCAGAGGGAAGAATGTTAGGAAATGAGCCAGGCTGACACCAATGTAATTAATAAATCATACATTTGTTGTAATCTATCTTGAAGCTTGCAGGAAATTGACCACTTTATTTAGTGATGTGCAAAAAGTTGGCAGAAAGCTAAAAGTTAAATCGAAATACCCAGGATAGTGTCACTTTTCACTTGATGTGATTCAGCAGAGTAATATTTATTCAAGCAATGAAATAAGTAAGGCCTGTGGTCCTTTTTTTTTAACAGTTGAGTTTGTTCGTTTCAAACAAAGTCTCAGCATTTTTAATAAAATGCAGCTGTTTTAAATGTCCAGGGTATCATTGCAGGTCATGGGAATGTCACCCTTTTTAGACAGTGCAATATCATTAATATTGGAAAGCAACCCTTAATCCCAAACAGGGGAAGTTTCAGCGATTTTGTATGAATGCTGATATTGATATATATATACTACTAACTGTACCCGTAATTGCACTTCGCTTGCAACCCAAGGATCCAATATGGAATGTAAATTGACACACAGATAAACATTTCGGCTTTAATCTACACTCAGCTGGGAGGACCCAGTGGGTGGACTCTGCCCTTTAAAAATGTAATGTTGTTGTGGTTGCCGCGGCTTAGCTTCGTCTGTGTTCTTTATTTTGTTCCCGCTGCTTGGCTAGTTGCCTGCTCTGTGACGCAGGATGCCACAGCCCAGCATTGACTCGGTGGCCACGAGGTGTAACTGCGGCGAAACACGCAAAACTGAAAATAACCAATGAATGACAGGAGATACCCAAAAACAAATATAATACTAATAATAATCCTTGCATTTGATACAACGCCTTTTCACGTCTTCAGGACGTCTCAAAGCGCTTCACAGAATAGACTGTAAAGTGAATTGACTATATATTTTGTGGGCGAAACGCAGCAGCCAATTGCGCACAGCAGCGTCGCACAAACAGTCGTGGATTGAAGTGACCAATTAATTATTGAATTTTTTCTTGAGGGATTATAATATGCCCACGTCACTCCCAGACGCAAGCCTTTCCGATGAAGTATGAATCATGTCTCTGCATCAATCTGTTATTGAGATCTTTCTTGAAACGCAGACTTTCGAGCAAGAAACAATGAACAACTGTACACATTCAACAGGTGTCCATTAGCAGAGACGGAAAGGAAAGGATCCTGAGTGATTATTGAGATTTCCCTTCAACGAGTCACTGTTTGTCAACACAGTTAACGGCAGTTTACGTCCTGAAACCAGATTTAGCCATTGGCCATGCCTTACCTTGACAGTCATTTAAAGTTATCCCTTAGCCCAGCGAGAGATCTTATAACCTTCTTCAGTTGATCAAGCAGCAGGAAAGTTAGACTTTACCCCAGCCACTCATTTCAAATGTTTTGACTAAAAGAAAGAGGTTGAGTGTGAGTTATAAGGTGATTCCACTTACCTGGTGAAGGTGCACCATACTCCTACAGAAGACTAAACCATAATAATAATAATAATGATAATCCTTGCATTTGATATAGCGCCTTATCGCATCATTGAGACGTCTCAAAGCGCTTCACAGAATATAGTGTATGTGAATTGACGTTTGGGAGAGGGCAGGTAATTAATTGCTTTCAGAAGAGTTAGCTCAGACATGATGGGCTGTATAACCTTTTTTCTGTGCTGTACATTTCTATGGTTCTATGATAGTTATCTTATGCTTCATAATTTACACAAGAGATGCTTAAAAAGACTGCAAATTCTACCCATATATTGCGATAGCAATCTAACAAAAATCAAGTTCTGCATCAGGATACTAACTAGAACGGTTGAACATTTTTTTCCCCCAGCAACTTAGTATTGTTAAGACAAAAGTAAAATATTTATAACAATAATAATAATTGTTGCATGCGATTTAGTGCCTTTCATGTTGGGAGTACATCTCAAATTGCTTCACAGGATTTACTGTGAAGTGTAATGTGTTGGTGGACACAGCAGTCATCTATACAGCCAGTCTGTGACCTACACCTTGTAACACCTTCATTTAACATGGAAACATTTAACAGGCTTTAAAATGCACTCATTACAAGTTGCAATATATTCCTGTTTACCGTAATACTAAACAATCTTACGAAATATTGGGAATATTCATTTAAGGCCATTTTGTAATATTACAGCCTGATATTGATATTGTGAGAAAATTGCAAATATTCACAAGGACTTTTTAAACGTATATTGAATGCAAAGGATCAAGCGATTCTGCCCTCCTTTCTGGCTACTTCTCATTTATTTCTTCCATCAAAAAGCTGGAGATACAGTAGTATAGAAAAGTGGGAGTTAAATGAACAAAATGTTCTTCCTGGAATCCTACTTGACAATGTAAGTCATGGTGTCATCCACTTGCACATTGCTGTGAGAAGCAATAAATCCAATATATTTGTTCTGCACAATGCGAGACATTGCAATAATATAATGCTTTCAGTTAAAGGAAACACCCAAATCATCACTGTACAAAATAACAGAATAAAATGATTTCCAAATGTTTGTTACAAATATTTTTTTTTAAAAAATAGATAGTGAGTTTCCTGCAAAGAGTTAACATCGTATTCCTTCCGTCAAGGTTTTTTTTGGGTGGGGTGGGAGTTTGCTTAATTTTTCCTGTAACTGTACCTTGATGATTTGAGTGTTGCTTTAATGTACCAAATTTTGCTTGGATTGATGCATTTGTTACTGTACCCACATTTAATTGGTTTGTTCTGCAATTTTGTAAGTGAGAAGTCTGCATTCGATTGCTCATTGCTGCTCTGATGTTGTTAAATATGTTGACGTTAGAGTTCTCACACCAGACATCAAATAACTTTGGTGTTAACAGAAGACTTCATCCTCATTTTGCCCACCAGTCAGAGGGAAATCTATCTCATAGTGACATGACACAGACCACCATTCAACACTGCGAATAAATGTGTTGAACTTTTTAACAAAGTTTTTTTTTATTGTGACGATAACATCTCTGAAAAGTTCCATCGAGTTGCCAAAATACCTAGAATTGATACCTGTGGAGATGTTAAAAAGAGTTTTAAGGAGTTTTCCGTTTCCGACTGAAATTATGGGCACTTTTCCGTATTTTGCGCAAGGTAAAAATGTAGAAAAATGCAACTCGACACATTTTTGGGTAACTATTGTTAAGCAGTCCTAGACGTTACTAGTTTAATTAACGTACATGATTAATGTGACACAAGTGTTGTTTGTGAACTGATTTAATTTAACTGCAGGAAGTCATAAATTAACATATTTCGTAGGGTTTACAGACATTGATAACAAATGTATTTAAACAGGATATGCAATGCGTACATGAGTGAGAAAGGAACAGAGGGGTTCAGAAGAGGGGAATGGGAGAGGTGGAGACATGTGGAATATAAATACTGACTTGCACTAATTAGGCAACATGGAGTGTTTCTGTGCTGTAATATTCTTTATGAGTCTATCCAGTTTCATGTTGAGCATTTTGTCGACATTCAAGTTGATGCTCAATTCTTTTTTCTAAACGTTATAGGGTATTGGCAACAAACAATTGGCTAAGCCTTCCTACATCACTTTAGTCTCCGTAGAAACAAAATCGTCCTCAATGTGATGCACTGTTTTTTAAAGACAAAATATCGACAATCAAAGCATTGGTGTAAAGATATTTTTTATTTTTCAATCTCAAGAGTTTGCGGCAACTGGTGTCACTCTGAACGTTAACTGTTCGATACTGCCACAATTTTCAGTAATTGCTTTGTGCAGAAACACAGGAACACAACGGTTTCAAATATATTCGAAAAATATCTTGAACTGGAAGGATTCAGGGTTATCAAAGATACTGTACATAAATTTGGGGGAATCTGGTGGAAAATTGGGTGAGTAGGATTCATGGACTAATGGTATAATGCTTAAAAATGTTACTGTATAACTTTATTGGTGATTTAGTGTTAAAAATACAAAAATCAAGTGAAGTAGTGCAATGACTTTGTAACTTTCGTTCTACCAACAATATTGCAAATCATATTCATTTAAACATACAACTCGCAATGAAAATCTGATGTCCATTTGAAACCCAGCCAGCTTAAAATAAAGAGTTCTGGCAAAGTTCTGTACAAATTATTTGATATATTGCAATAAGCCAACGTGTAAACATAATATTTCACAACAAAGAGATAAACTGGAACATAAGGCGGCTCAAAAAATATTTTCAACCGCACCATACTTTCATTTTCTCAGTATTTATATACAAAAGAGATTTACCTTCACATAATGGCTCACATAATAGAATGTCACTTTTAAGGAGTCAGTCTATTTGGCTTGTACGCTACTTCTGGGATGTTGGATAAATTTAACTCACTTAGTTTCCAGCTGTTTCTGTGCTGTCTTCCGGAGTCAAAAACTGCACTTTAGGGACTGCGAGAGACGAGTTGTTTCTTCTGATGGAATTATTCTTTCTCAGTGAATTGTTCCTCCGCATCGAATTGCGTTTCCTCAAGGAGTTCTGGTGAGACAGTTCACTCTTTTGAAGAGTCTGGATCAGGATGGATGGTTTCTCATCGAGTTCCCGAGCACTGCAGTGAGGAGTGGCCACTTTGATCCTGTTCCCAAACTTGGAATAATCCACGGAATAGGTCCCTTCCTCTTCAGTCACTATTGGGACAAAGCGATATCCCCACAAGATCTCCTCGGCGATGTAGGATGTCCGAGCCTGGGTGGTGATGCCTGTGGTCTCCACCACACCTTCCAGTATAACGATCACCTCCAGGTCCTGATTGTGGAGGTCACTGGCCGAGATCTCATACAGGGGGCTGCGTCTGTCTATCACGTGGCAGATGATGAGAGGCGACACCAGGAAGACACTGCTACTGTCGATGGAGTTTTCCATCTTGATGTCGATCTGGTTCATGGGGATGATCTCGCCCTCTGCGGTGCTGGTCTTTCTCACCACTTGTATCCTGACCGAGGCGCTGATGATCATGCTCTTCCTCAGATCGCCCACCCTGAACATCAGGCAGAGTTTGCCGTTCCTGACGCCGATGACCGCGTGGCGGCTGAAGATCAGCGTCTCCGCCGGCGATGAGCCTGCGCCGTCTTCATGAAGATACAGCCCAGCATGACGGCATTGATGATCAGCCCGGCGATGTTCTGCATGATCAGCACCGTGATAGCGGTGGGACATTCCTCCGTCACCATCCTTCCCCGAAGCCGATGGTGACCTGCACCTCGATGGAGAACAGGAAGGCGGAGGTGAAGGAACTGACGTTGGTCACACACGGCTGGAAGACAGAGCCCTGGCGCTGGCCCAGATCTCCGTGGCTGAAAGCCACCAGCCACCACATCATGGCGAACAGCAGCCAACTGCACAGGAAGGACATGGTGAAGATCAGCAGAGTGTAGCGCCATTTCAGGTCCACCAGGGTGGTGAAGATATCCTGCAGGAAGCGGCCCTGCTCCCTGATGTTCTTGTGAGCCGCGTTACAGGCTCCGTTCTTGGCGATGAATCTTGCCTGTCGAGGCCGGGCTGTGTAGCGCGGCTGACGGACATTCTCTGCTGCTATCCGGGCCAGGACATACTCCTCGGGGATGATGCTTTTTCTGGCCAACATTCTGTGATAACATAGTACTTACTGTAGTGACAGAGTCAGATGTGGGGGTGTGCGCGGGGAGGGTGGGCGGGAGGGTGATGGGGGATTGGAAAAGATGGGGGTAAAAATAGTTGGCGCTGGTTCTCTCGAAACTTCTCGGATGAAACTGGATCAAAGTTGCTCTGCTTTGCGGTGTGTCCACCCCAACTGAATGGAACTGCAAATAGAGCAAAATCCTCACTAAACTAACCCCACGCGGGTTGTCACAAGAAGGGGGTCAGGCAGAGGAGAGTGCAGTGACCATCACACCACCATCATCATCATCACCAAAGCACTGAATAAGCTGAATAAGGCAAGCTGCTTCAGTCAGCATTTTGATCTCTTCTTCCCCACTGCAGAGAGAGTGTGTGTGTTGTGCTGGTATCAGCTGAACAGCTGTGATAATGCAGCTGTGGTTAGCCCAGGGCTAACCTGGCCAAGGTGCTGTCGCTCCTGTAAAGGGAGGGAAGGCAGCTTGTCTCCCCTCATCACTTGCTGAGCTTCAGAGCAGCAACTGGAAGAAGTCTTGGGCAGAGTTTGCTGACTGGAGAGAGCGAGAGAGAGAGGGAGGGAGGGAGGGAGGGAGAGAAGGAGGAAGGCAGGCAGCTTGTGAGCAAAGCAACTGCAAAGCAGCTGGATTATTCTCCGCACGCAAAAGCGTTGAGCAGTAAAAGCAGTGGGAAGGGGATGGTTGGTGCCTTTTTCTACCCAAATCCCGAGTCATATCCCACACTTTCTGACGTAAATGGGTGGAGCTTTCCCCCAGATGATATGAGCTGTATGTGTTCTTGTCCCAAAGGCACACACACACACACACACACAGAGAGTCACTGTATTAACTCCTTCACCACACATCACCACAAGTGCTCAAGGGCGAGTGTGGGGGGTTGAATGGTGTGTTAGTCATTTCATTATCTTCTCTTATTATCTTCAGGCCTTTTCGTACAAAATGTTTGTCATTTCAATGAAACACACATTCACTTCAGTACTCTGCTGTAAAACCCAATCAAGTGTTCTTTTAACATCCTTTAAAATTGTGTTCAAATGATCCCACTATTCCCTTGCTCACCACGGGAAACCTTATTTAACAAAAACATTGCCAATATATTATTTTCCTCTGAATTTCCCCCTCTTACCCTGTCACTTCCGAGCAGCGTCGTACAGGGTTGAAAAGATAATAAAAGTAGAGACATGAGACAGGCTGTCACCTCAAGAGCTGTGTAAAAGTTGATCTCAGTTCCATTCTCAGCTAAGTTGTCGTTTTTACTAAGACGCTACATTACGAGAGGGCAAGCAATCCACTGATCTAGAGCCATGCCACCCATTACACCTTCTCCCTATCCCACAACAATAACTTGCATTTATACAGCGCCTTTCACACGGGGCAGTGTCGCGGAGCGCTTAACAGTGGTGGAGCCTGATGCCGAGCTGGGGGGAGGGAGGAGGTAACTGTAAGGAAGGTTAAAGAGGAAGGTCGTCAGTCGTGATCTGAAAGAGGGGAAGGAGAGGGCAAGGCGGGGTGGGGGGGGGGTTGTTGAGACAGAGAGTTCCAAAGCTCTGGGGTGTATTGGCTGAAAGTGCGGCTGTCGATGGTGGAGCGGAAGGGAAAGAGAGACAAGCAGGAGGTCAATATCTCACATTATCTTGGACACCGCGCGATGCTATTAGAATAAATTGATGTCCATCGGGCTGATCACAAGCAGCCCCTCGTTTCTCTTATCTTGTCAACCAGCCTCATGATCGATGCCATCAGCCAGAAGGCTTCTCAAACAGGTCCTGGCCCCACACACCCTAACCTGGGTTTGGCTAAGAAGTATTACAGTATCTACACTAAAATACTCACTAAGCCGCCCATTCACAATATCTAATACACCTGGTGAAGCACGTCTTGGTTGAACTTTCTTACTCAACGATTACTTGTTTGAGATGTTCTCAATTGGTCCCATCAGCCCCTTAGCTTTGCTTTTGGCTTGAAAACATGGCCAATCGAACAACACTCAACGTTGGATACTCCCACTTTGGAAATGGCTGGCGGAAGTAAAGCAACTGAACAGGAGAGCTAAGCGACGCGTTTTAATGCAGGGAAACAAAGTCGAAATAGATAAAAAGGTAGTTTATGTGGGAAAATCACAAAGGAAAAAAACTAAACTAACATTCAGAATAGTGGAAATAAAGAATTACAACAGAAGGAAAGGGAAATGGCATAAAAAGATATTGTTTGAAATCTTTAATTTTAATTTGTTTTTATTTAGTAATCTTTTTTGCTGTTAATTTAGAGTGATAAAGATACCTTGATATTTGAGTAACTTTTATTAACTTTTATCGGTTTTATTGAAAAGAATTGGTTGCTTAATCCACGACTGTTTGTGGGACATTGCTGGGTGCAATTGACTGCCGTGTTTCACCCACCAAATACATACATAATCAATCCACTTTACAGTGTATTGTGTGAAGCGCTCTGAGACGTCTCAATGACGTGATCAGGCGCTGTATCAAATGCAAGGATTATTATTACTAACAGAAGGGTAATGAGAGGAGGGTTATTTTCAGTGTCACAATATATGAACCAATCAGTCCACTAAAAAAAGTACTTTTGCAGTCTAGGGATTAAATATTTGAAATGTATTTGTTCTAATTTAAAGTTAAATTCTCTTATTCTGCTAAATTATAACAGATTCGGAGATTCATTTTACAGTGCCTTATCGATTAATAGATCTTATAAATGAATAACAGATTCATTGTAATCATTTCATTAGCTTTTAGCCGTAAAATGACTCTTTTTTTCAGAATCACAATACGTGAGATAAAAACATGAACCAACCACGGGATCCAGGAATAGAGTTATTTGGTCTGGACCTGCTACAAGGAAATTTACAAAGGATTTTGCTGTGGAATTTGCGTGCATGAAATGGTGCACACAGCTCCTTTTTATTTGGCAGAGTCCAACTTGGCTGCCATACAGCTAACCCAGAACAAGTCAATTTACAAAATGCAAAGATGGAACTGACATTTTTCAATACATATCCAAGTGCAGGAAAAAAAGTGTCAAGCAAATAACTGTATGAATCAGTTGAGCAACGGTCTAACTTTCACTACAAATAAATAGATAAATAGTAATAAATAGCAATGACATTTTCAGACATCACATTATTCCGAATAGTGAGTAGGAAGCTTTGACGTCGCAAATAGTGCAATGAAAATCCTTTAAAAAGTGAAAAAAAATTCCGTCAGCCTATTTTTGGATGAAACCAGAGTGTCACTTAATATTACAATGGAAATAAAACGTGTGTTCCTGCTCGTACAGCACATGTAACCTGGTGCCAGGGTGGTTCAGTGTGTAGCTCTCTTGTCTCTGTGACAGAAGGCTGTGGGTCAAAGCCCCGGATATGGACTTGAGCTGGTCATCAATGCTGACATTCCTGTGCAGCGTTGGGGGAGCCACGGTTTGTCGGAGAAGCTGTCCTTCAGGTCAGACTGTTGAAATGGATGTTGAGGATCTCATGAAGTTATTGAAAAACAAGTGAGTTTCACCTGGTGTCCTGTTCACAGTCCTGTCAGATACATTGGTTGCTCACTGCAGGACTAGGACTCATGCTACATGCGAAATATCGGCTGTGTTTGCCTCCAAACAGTCACTAGACTTGCCAGTAATTCCTGCGAAGGGCTTTGTGATGCTTCAACGTGCTGTATACATGCAAGTGCTTTCTTTCATTGATTGCACAAATGTCTTGTGTTTGCTTTTACACCTTGCAGGTATCGTGAATCTTACAAATGAATGACTAGTCAATGGCAAGGATGAGACATGGAGAATCAAGCCCTGGTGGGTGAGCACTGTACACGTTGGTTTGGTAATGATGTCCAAACAGCCCTATTTTGAACAGTGACACTGCAGTAACCCTGAACCTGGAGAGGTGATGCCAGATATTAATGCCGCATTTGCAGCCAGCCGAGCCAATTCTCCTGCACAATAATGGCTGCCATGCCTAATATATCACCCAGTCATTTGGATGTTTATTGCTCTCCGTGCACTATTTCCACTCCTCTTATGTTTAATGTTTGCAATTGTTACTGCGCTAACGATAACATTGGGGGATGAGATTTACAGTACGGTGTTCCCAGCTGCGCTTTCATTTTCTCTCCAGTGAAAAACATCGCGCTCCTTGCATTCACTCCAACAGAGAAAGAGATGTCGACATTTCAGACGATTGAAGCATACTCTCTGTGCACGGGTTTTCCATCTAACTGGAGCACGAATGGGAAATATCACGTCAATATTAACGTGACTCTTGCCCTACTTTGTCAGACATATTGACTGCCACGTTTTGCCCACAAAAACACACAGTCACTCCACTTTGCAGTATATTCTGTGAATCGCTTTGAGACGTCTCAACGACGTGATAAGGCGCAATATCAAATGCAAGGATTATTATTGTCATGATAATCAGGCGTTGCAAGATAATCCGTATTCTATCCTGGTCTTTAAAACCAAGTAAGTTCTTGAACACAATGCAATGACTTATTTAAGAGCTCAATGTCTTGTAAGCGATTGGTTTGATGTCAGTTCATTTCATAGTTCGTCGGCTCCACTGTGACCCTCCAGTGTGAAAAACTGAACTTTACTCGTTGAGAAAGATGAATTATTTCGTCTCATTGAGTTATTTTTCTTCAAGGAACTGCGTTTCCTCAAGGAGTTCTGGTGAGACAGTTCACTCTTTTGAAGAGTCTGGATCAGGATGGATGGTTTCTCATCGAGTTCCCGAGCACTGCAGTGAGGAGTGGCCACTTTGATCCTGTTCCCAAACTTGGAATAATCCACGGAATAGGTCCCTTCCTCTTCAGTCACTATTGGGACAAAGCGATATCCCCACAAGATCTCCTCGGCGATGTAGGATGTCCGAGCCTGGGTGGTGATGCCTGTGGTCTCCACCACACCTTCCAGTATAACGATCACCTCCAGGTCCTGATTGTGGAGGTCACTGGCCGAGATCTCATACAGGGGGCTGCGTCTGTCTATCACGTGGCAGATGATGAGAGGCGACACCAGGAAGACACTGCTACTGTCGATGGAGTTTTCCATCTTGATGTCGATCTGGTTCATGGGGATGATCTCGCCCTCTGCGGTGCTGGTCTTTCTCACCACTTGTATCCTGACCGAGGCGCTGATGATCATGCTCTTCCTCAGATCGCCCACCCTGAACATCAGGCAGAGTTTGCCGTTCCTGACGCCGATGACCGCGTGGCGGCTGAAGATCAGCGTCTCCGCCCGGCGATGAGCCTGCGCCGTCTTCATGAAGATACAGCCCAGCATGACGGCATTGATGATCAGCCCGGCGATGTTCTGCATGATCAGCACCGTGATAGCGGTGGGACATTCCTCCGTCACCATCCTTCCCCCGAAGCCGATGGTGACCTGCACCTCGATGGAGAACAGGAAGGCGGAGGTGAAGGAACTGACGTTGGTCACACACGGCTGGAAGACAGAGCCCTGGCGCTGGCCCAGATCTCCGTGGCTGAAAGCCACCAGCCACCACATCATGGCGAACAGCAGCCAACTGCACAGGAAGGACATGGTGAAGATCAGCAGAGTGTAGCGCCATTTCAGGTCCACCAGGGTGGTGAAGATATCCTGCAGGAAGCGGCCCTGCTCCCTGATGTTCTTGTGAGCCGCGTTACAGGCTCCGTTCTTGGCGATGAATCTTGCCTGTCGAGGCCGGGCTGTGTAGCGCGGCTGACGCAGATACTCAGCTACAATCCGGGCGAACACGTACTCCTCGGGGATGATGCTTTTTCTGGCCAACATTCTGAGATCATAGCACTTACTGCAGTCACGGAGTCAGAGGCAAGATCAGCGCACGACACCCTCTGGTCAGCACCGGTGTGCTTGGATCCACCTTAAAACAGTTGGCTGTGGAGCTTGAGTATCTGGATCCGAAAACGCTTGCAAAAGTAGAAAAAAGATCATTTTGTGGTTAATACGTTTTCCATGTTTACGTGTTACATTTTTTCGCAGTTTTCTTTAATCGGGTCTTCTGATAACCTGATTTTAAAACGCATTCCTTAACCGCGTGGATCTCACAATGAGCTTTGAGCGTGGGGGGTAAAAAAACTTGGATTGTTACCTGCTCACAGAGTCTAAGGCAGCGGTAATCAGTAAAGCAAAGTTCGTATCATTAATTAAAGTGCTAACCATGTTTCCTTCCCCTCTGGATTTGAAGGCACTTCATGTTGGTTGGTTTCCCAGCTGTAAAGTGTGTCAGTGGCACTCGCTTCTCTTCCCGTATCTGGGCTTCTGCTCTCAACTTTATTAAAAAAACAATTGGAGTGAATCATCGCGGTTTTTTTTCCTCTCTCTCTCTCTCTCTCTCTCTGCTTTGGCTATTATTTTTTGACGTAAATGGGAGGATCTTCCCTTTCCATGTTGCTGCTAATCTCACATGGAAAACCTCAGCAGCCTGGCTGAAATTAACCCCTTAGAGCTCATCCAATAATAATAATAATCATCCTTACATTTGATATAGCGCCTTATCACGTCTTCAAGACGTCTCAAAACGCTTCACGGAATATACCCCTAATGGCACACAGCAGTGTCCCACAAAGCATTGTGGATTGAGTGACCAAATTATTATTATTATTTTTCTTTGAAGGGTTTATTATCCCCGTAAACATGTTACATATTCTATGCCAATCCAACATCATGCGGTGCCAGTTTTAGGACTGGTTCATATTTTTAAAACCATTCAAGTGCAATAAACTTCCAAACTTAAGTACTCAATTATTTTCTGCTGATATTTCCTTCAAAGATTCCTGTTGACTTTGGGTAAAAGCAATTGATGCTGAGTGTCAGCATTGGTTAGGGATCTTAGCAATTGTCAAACAAAAAAACACCAGACGGAAATACAAATGTGCCAAGCGAGTCAGAGAGAACGTCAACATAAACTGGGTCAAAGGGATTCACACGTTCTCAGAAGATATCAGAAGGGATGTAGAGACGTACAAAATGATGGTTCTCCTGACCTTTCTAACAGATTCTCCGGGTGACTGCACGTTGCCGTTGGGATCCTGCCTGGACATTCTGGGGACTCGGGCATCTGTTGAGACTAATGTGTAATCCACTGCTTGTTTAACTAAATGTCAGACATGGGATTTTGTAACCCAAGGAACAGTACATTATGGCAGGTTTAACAGAGAAACACTGACTCACCGGTTTCCCCCCAACCTCTGGAACCCCACCCCACAGTCCCTCCGCCTCGCCCCTCCCTTGCCTCCTTCAAGACCCTCTTCTTCGATCGTGCTTTCAATCACCCTCCTTCCCCTCCTGCCCTCCACCCTCCCCGACCCCGGGTCTGAAACTCTGTCTCTCCAGCGCCTTGGGACGTCCTCCCAACATGAAAGGTGCTTTACACATGTAATTTTGTTGTTGTTGTTGCATCTATTGGTTCGAAACAAAACTGAAAATTACATTGTAGGTGTTTTGCCCACAAAATACACAGTCAATTCACTTTACAGTATATTCTGTGAAGCGCTTTGAAACATCTCGAAGATATGATAAGGCACTAAATCAAATGCAAGGATTATTACTATTATTATTGGTTAAGAATTGTGCTCCAGAGCCAGGAACCAACTAACTTATTAAGGATTGATCAGATATAGAGGCTGCTGTAATAACCAATATAGTAGCCGAGGAAACCAGGCTGTAAAATTAAAATAATACTTATATTTGGATATAATTCCTGGGCTGGCCAAAACCTGACTCCACACACTTCTGTTTACCTAGCAGTAAGCAGGAACCCGGTTGTTAGTCGATTGACAGATCGCTTCAAAATCCCTTCAAAAAATAACTCAATGTCCTTTAATCCATGACTTTTTCTGGGACACTGCTGTGCGCAGTCAAATCACTTTACAGTGGATTCTGTGAAGCGCTTTGAAACGTCTCAGTGATGTGATAAGGCGCTGTATCAAATGCAAGGATTATTTGTATTGGGTATTATTAGTTTTTATACTTAAACAGTTGCTAGGCGCAGGTTGGCAAGAGCCAAGGCTCGGGGGCACTAGATATTTGACTAGAATGTCTCATGTTCGCTCGAATTGGGTTCATGAAGATGACAATACTCCTTTTTGAACAGTAGTCCATAGATGTTAAAGTGTAATGGTGTTCAAACTGAGCCAGGTCTATTTCAATGCCACACCGCCGTATGCAGATTGACAGAAGATAACTTCCTGACAACTGCATGGTTTAAATATCTGAAATGTAATCAGTCGAGTTTCATTGGTAATTGAACGTGCAAATGTCCATCAATGTTATGGGGTAATATTCAAGACGGTTTTATTTTCAGAATTCTGAACTGTTTGGACGACCACTGACTTTCAATTCACATACATGTGAAGGAATAATTTAAAGAGATAATCAGCAACACACTTAATCACGCAATCAAGCAGAACGCTTATTTTATTGTTTTAACAGTGTAAAAGCAGATAAAGAATACAAATATTGCTGTTTCATAATCGGAACTGACGCATGAGGTTCATTACATACTGGTGTACACAGTCCTCTATGACCAATGTGATAGAAAGCACCATATTTTAATCAATATCAATTACTATTTCATTGAGTAATTCTTGCATAGATCCGTCAATTGATTTAGTACTGCACTATCGACATACTGCATATCGACATAAAATCCCACCTCGTCTTACCCTGTTAAAAAATTAAGAGCGAACAGATTTTTAAATTCCATCTTAATTTAAAAGTTGGTTCCGTTTTCAGAAATATATCTGCCACATGAAGAGTAAATTGAGAATTTTTCCACAATTCTGCGCTCTCAAATTTTAAGACAAAACGAGTTTTTTGGACTAGGACTCGGTGGAATTTGGAGCTTCAAATTTTCCCATTTTCTCCATCAGTGTATATATAATCTCTTGCATACAATGATCTCTTCTAATCGTTATTAAAATTGATTTGGTTAGGCATTAAACGTGGATGAAACCATATCAATGTTTTTCTACGCTGCAAATATTAACGTATCGTCTATTTGTAGCGCTCATTTTTAAATACACATCTGGCTTTGGTTTCTTTCAATGTTTTCTTAAATTTTTCTTTAAATCATGCTAGAAAAACAAAGGCATATGAAATACAGTGAGGATACTGGTTAGCTTGTGTTTTCAGAGGGAAAGTGACAAGTGACATGTTAACGATGTACTTAAAAACACTCAGCGTGGCTGGTTTCAATATTGTGCAGTTTCTTAACAATTTTACTGATAAAATATTGCATCAATGATGTGGTTTAAGCATTTAATTTCTACGTGCACCTTTTATATCTTTTCATGCGCTAAGAATGCAAAAAGATATCACTTATTTCCACTTGGCTGCCTTTTAAAATGTGTGGATTTAATAAGAAAACTAGAGAGAACTACAACGGGCCCAGTGAGGAACTATACTTTATTTATTGGTAGCTCACTGATAGAAGAATGGCAAATTGCATTGAACATATAAAGTATTATTAATTTACTTAAATATATTGCATGCAGTGAATTCATTTGTGTGCAATAATGATAGGCTGGAAGATTTTTCTGTGCTAATTCTTTTACATTAATAAGCAACTTTCTTTTGTGCAAATCTGATTATATGCAACTATCCTACCTTATGCATTGCATACCATCTGTGCTTCATTGCAATGCATCTAGCATTTCAATAGCGATATTATAGTTTTCAACAATAGATCAATGTATTTTTCACAGTACACCTCATAAATCTTCTTGGCAAATATTCTCGTATTGCGGAATTTAGTTTCATAAATCATGTGGTCAATTATTTGGGATGGATATATGTAAATGTTCTGTAATTGTACTTATTGCTCAAACAGTTTAAATATTAAGACAACAGTTAAAACTTTATTCGGAAAGAGAGTGTGCAGACTCTTATAAATGTTGCAAAAATAGTGCGTTTGTGGTAAAAAAAAATGTCAAACATTTCAATGCAAAATGACATCTCAGAAAGAGTTACATATCTGCCCTGACAAATGATGCGAAGATACTGTCCTCGTGGGCAAGAAGACTTTCTGGTTTATCATACTCTAAAATGTTGCCTCGTTTCATCACAATGACCAGGTCTGCAGTCAGTATCGTGTGAACTCGGTGCTGCAGAGAGAACAGAAACATTTTACAATGTAATCGGCTCAAATTCACTTACAGTCACATAGAAATCGTACTATCGCGAATCAGAACTCCTTCCTCATTCATTCGCGAAAATGCTCTGCGTCGCTACCCTGCGCGAAGGGCTCCACATCAATGCAAGTTGTTGTTGTTGAGAGAGAACACTTAAAAAGTCTCGAAAACATCAATCGATTGATCCCGCAATAAAGTAATGTCATGGGAAATAACGCCTCTGTGTGTGTTGCTGATAATTGGCAATTTGGGTTGCATGTTAATAGGAACATTCACTGAGATATCTGACCAAAGGTCATCGACCTGAAACGTTGACTCACTTCCCTCTCTCCATAGGTGCTGCCTCACCTGCTGAGTGTTGCAGCGACTTCTGTTTTTATGTCAGATTTCCAGCATCTGCAGTATTTTCCCTTTTATTAACTGAGATATAAGTATAGTTTTGCTACTAAAAGTAGATAATTCTTGAAAGGAGTTAAAGAAAACCAGCTTCGAAATTAAGACTGCATTTAAGAATTTGGACCCTCTGACTTGCTAAGTAAACAGACTAAATCTAGACCCAGGTAGAATTTCGCCCCATCTACGTGTCAGTGATTGGAGGAAATTTCCTTCTAATGTCTGAGTTTACCATATATCTTTTAGTGTTACCTTTTGCCAAACATCCAAACTACAGCTCAGGTAATGTGGCTTACAACCCCTTGATATTTACCTGTCTAAGTTTTACAAACCAATAGTTCATTGATGTATCTGCAGTATTTTGCCCTTCATATGTGTAAACACTCTTCCGCTTTAGGGGTTAAAAAGCTTATTTTTTTTAAAAGACAAAATGGACGTCTACGAGATGAACGAAAGCTTAGACCGTATTTAGAAGGCAATTGCATGGAACACAAACTAGAAAAACACACAGGTATCAAAAGACAAAAAAAAAATCACACACACAACACACACAACAGCAGACGATGAACTCTCAGCACTTGCTAAACAGTCAGATTCCGGCAGCTAAACAGAGATGCCAGTAGTCGTCAGATCTACCAACCCAGGAGCTGGATACACAGCCAAAAGAGTGCACGGAACACCTCTATTTGTTGTTCTTCACTAGAGAGGCAAAGAGGCTCTCCTCTTGAGACAGTAAGTTTGACGAAGAACCAGACTCCGCTAATAAACCCTCACAAAAGACTAACAATACATCGGCATCCAGAATGGAAGTCACCCGATGCTGGAGGAAGAAACAGCAAAGAAAAGAGTGAATAGTTTGGACAGTGAGGAAAAGTAAAGCAGGTTATGGAAACGAGGCACAAACTTAAAGAGGAATTAACAGACTTAGCGAAGAGCAGAAGGGGCCGAAGCAAATCTGCGAAAACACTACTTCAGTGAGCGAGGTAATAAAAGTACGGAACAGGAGACGGTGGAAGCAGAAAATGTCGATTCTTTCAAGAACAAATGAGAGAGATTTCTGTTAGGAAATAATATCTCGGGGATACAGTATGGAGTTTGGGACACGACATGTGTAAGCGACTGTCTGGATGGTGGAAGGCAAATTGGATGGACCTTGGTCTTCTCTCGTCTAGCAAATTCTTATGCCCTCTTGGTAGGAATCCATCTGCTGATTTTGGTGGAATAACACATTGAGGGTTTTACCGAAACGTAGATTAAAAAACGTGACTTGTTATCAAACTGTGATGGAGTTGGATATCACCAGTTCTAGTCTCTAAATCAGCTTCAACTACAAGGAAACACATTTCAGCAAATACCAGACTCTATTCCACTTCTGTTGGGTTGACTGAGGTTTATAGAAGTGAGTTGCTTCATTATTTTACTCAATGTTTCTTTCATTTGCTCTGGTGAGGCTGTCTCTATTTCTTAATGATGTCATACAGTAACTGTGATTATCAGACACTCGGCTGACACCCAAAATATATAGTTGCCCTTCAAATAAAAATGCAAACAAGATAGAATGGTATGGAATCAGACTTAAAATGTATAAACTTCATAATGCGGTGCCCGACAGCCAAAGGAAATATGGATGAAAGCTGATTATTCAAATATGAATGATGGATTTTATGAAGGTTTTGCGCTGTGTTTATTACTTACAGCAATAATCACTACGGTACGATCTGCAAAAGCTGTCATCACTACTTTCTGCAGAATGTTTTCCTAATAAAAAACAGATTTGAAAGTTACAGAAGGTTCAAGGTACACGAAGATAACTGAAATTAAAGGTAACATTTCTTGAAGATGAAAGACTATTTAAATACATAAACATAAAGAGCCAAGAGACAGGACCTTGGTTTAACATCTCAATCATAAACAAATACATAAGTCAAACCATATTTACAGTACAGAAATCCTGATTATATTCTAACACATCAGTAATGCACCTCATTGCAATATTATTGCCTTTTTCTTAAATGATTAAAACTATGGCATTGACTTTGGACACTTCATGAACAATTTGCTTTGAATGGCTTTGATTTGGACACTTGCTGACGTTTGAAATTCCATTGATATTAAGGCATGATGTGAGCATGCGAAGGCACAGTGACAAGGCAGGACATAACTTAATATGAACAAAGTCACAAGTCTTTCATATATGGTAATAAACTTCCAGCGAAAGGAATGACTCTTAAGCCCCTAAGCACTCTGAGATGCCGTATGGCATGAGGGGCGCGATGTAAATGCAAGTTGCTGTTGTTGTTGTTGTTGACTTACTGTAGCCATGTCAATGGAGGCTGTGGCTTCATCCATGATCAGAATGCTGCTCTTGCGAACAAAAGCCCGAGCCAAGCAGAATAGCTGCCGCTGTCCCACACTAAAGTTCTCTCCACCTTCAGTCACATTGGCATCTGTGCAAGGAAACAGCCAACTCCGCTCAGAAAGAAAAACTTTGCATTTTGTAGCACCTTATCACAGTTAAACAACTCAAAGGTAATCAATGTCAACCGGGGTTGCAGGCAATTTGCCTGCATATATTTTTTTTTGTATGTGATTCTTTAAAAATTAACCTTTTTTTTAATTGGTAAGCGATCTTAAATACGTGAACCATATTTAATAACATTTCACTGGAAGCTTGCGTATGTGGCTGAAAACAAGCTCCTGAAAATGACGTGAATTGACAGGAATCATTGCACGACCACAGATCAAAGCTATAACTATTTCTATGGGGTCTTTGATATCCACGTGAAGAGCTAGACGACAGGACCTCGGCTTAACCTCTCAATCAAAAGAAGGTATTTCCATCAGTGCAGAAACAGACGTCAGGCTCACACATAAAGAATATTTACTTGTGTAAGCGACTGAAGGGAACCATACTCGACATACGTCAACATTTTGTGTCTGTTAAGCAAACAGGCTGTTTCCAAACCAGTCTGTTGCTAAACACACGGTGAACACTTTATACCAGTTCCACACCTGTTGTGCAAGGGTTGACTTCAGTACAGTGTTGGATAGCCATTACGTCAGCCAAGAGGTAAAATGTAACCCAGGCAGTTTATCTCTGCAATTGACAGAGCCTGCACGCAGCAGGTTGCTGTGATTTTATTTATTACATATTAAATATGATAATTTCACTAGCAAGTAATTGTAGAACAGTTTTGCAGAATGTGTTGGATTTTCATGTGCATTTTTTTTTAAACCGTGAATCATTACAGTGTGAACGTTACCGTACGAAATTATGAGAGATTTATCGAAATGCTGAAAATTGAACGATTCTCTCGTCAGTGCAATAACACCTCTGTTCTTCACTCAAGAATCTTACAAAATGTTTATGGAGTTACTTTGACTTACTTAATCCTCCTGGCAATAATTTCACTATGTTCTTTAGCTGTGCTATTTCTAATGCTTCCCAGAGCCTGTCATCAGTGCACTTGCACCCTGGATCCAAGTTGAAGCTGAAAGGAAAATAGGTTGTAAAAACATCACTGCGAGCACATTTTAATTTTTTTATATTTTTGGTGATTTTACACGCTTATTAAAATGAGGATGTGATTGCTGGAGAATCCATCATCGACATCAGACACTCAACAAGTACAGCTCAGACACACAGTACTCCATCACAACAATGTATGTTTTCATTGCAATTTAAAAGAAAGTCATCCATTATCGAGCGAGTGTACATTTTTCTGCTACCCACACAAGCCATTATTTTGCTTTTGAGTGACTTTGCCTATTTATGCCAGTTTCTTTATGTCACTTTTTATGACTGCACCTTCAGTCTCTCTTCTGGGTCTATGACCCAAACCATCCTGTGCCGGAAGAGAGCTTCATAAAACCCTCCTGATGTGATTATTGATGGGAAGTAAAGGACTAAAATTGTAAACTAAAATATATTTTTGAATAAAAAAAAAGTCCAAATCAAAGTATAACAGGCGAGGAGAAACTTCTACCCCAGAGAACAATTACCATTTGGATAATAACTATGTTTTAATCTTGATAAAATGATTCCTTCACTAAATGAAACACCAAGTGAAAGGAGCGCAAGAAACTAAACATCTGCAATGGAAAAAAAAAGTGAGAGAATCTCTGCACAGCTTTGTAAATGATTAATCGGGTGTGATATTAACTACTATTCCATACAAAATTGAATTCATCACCTCGTGCCATGAATTGTTTTGTTTAAGATAACAATTGAAAAGTGATTTGTTACTTTTTTTTCTTTGCAATGTCACAGCAAACATAACTTGTTTCCATTGGCATTTCTCCACCTGAGTGTTAAAGCTGCACTTAACTACAGCAGACGGTCAGAATGACAGTCAGAACTTTTAAGACTTATTGTAGAAAGACTCTGGCAGGCAGATTAACGTAACTGAGTGGTGGAACCAAACATTGTAAAACACGTTGGTTTGCAATGGAAAGGTCACTACATTTCGTACTCATTTCCAATCCAGACCTTTCTACTTTGTTCATTAATTCTTTACAAATAGTGTTTGTTAAATTGCAAGGCTTCACCCCCGTAAGATGGTTTAGTTACGTGAATTGTAACAATCGTCCTATTAGTGTGGAGTTTTATTCAACGCCACATGCAGTAACTGAACAGATTTACTTTACCTATATATAGTATATTCCAGGCTGTTTTCCAAAGCCAATAAAAAGGCACTTTTGGATGTTGAGCCTCTAAAGGCTACTTACCGAATAGATCCGCTGAATAGAACAGGGTCTTGTAGAATAATGGAAAGTCTGGAGCGAAGAGTATGAAGAGGGAGCTTGGAAATGTCTATGCCGTCAATGACTATCTTGCCTGTTAATTAAGTACAAAAAAAGGTACTTAAGTCAGCGAATGATTGATTTCATTCTTTCCAAGAGATTAACCCAAGTTTTACTGTTACTTAGCTTTGTCCCAGTTAAATAAATGATATTTCCAGTTTGATAAAACCCTTATCTTCTCTGATTGTTACTAACGTAAAGCAGAATTACTTAGTAATTACTACTAATTACTTAGCAGGTACATTGGAGCCTCAAGGAAAGAGATGATGGGAGTGAGCAAGACTCCATCCTGGTTTTTCACAATAATTATAAAGACTACATAACAATGAAATGTTATGAAGTGTGATAGGAGCTCCCAATGGAAATACTGACCTTCAAATATATCTACCATCCTGAAGAAAGCCAGAGACAGAGAAGATTTTCCGCTGCCTGTGCGGCCACAGATCCCAACCTTGCATAGAGAAAACATTTTATTTTAACATTTTCTGAGCATTTTTTTCAACCTTAAGCGACCTTAAATACACAAACCACATTTAATAACATTTCACTGGAAGGTTCTGTGCGGAGCTGAAAACACTGATCAAAGTGCTCTTAACTATTTCTACTAAAGCAATAGGAGTCAGTAAACTGATGAGCTTTATTGTCATCTCCAGTGTTAGACTTGTTGTAAGTAAAAACGATATCTTCTGCTCTTAAAACATTACTAGCCGCTTGTATTTCAGTTTTGTTTTAATGCTGCCCTCATGAATCCATAGTCACCCTCGCAAATAATACGCTTCCCAGTGCTTGTAAACCGTGCTGTAGATATCGTGTGGAGACCTAAAGATACAGCGCAAATCCATTCACTGCTACACTACCATTTTACAGAGTTCCCATCACCTCCATAACCTAAACATTAGTCATGTCATGTGCTTGGGACTCGTTAACAATGTTAAAAAAACAGCATCAAAAGTGAACTGCCAGAGAATGTTTAAACTTATAACAGTTTACTTTAAGCTTGCTTAAGTCGGCCTCACCTTTTGTCCAGGTGTGATGAAGGCTTTGACATGTTTGAGGACAGGTTTGAGAGAGGAGTCGTAGCGAACGCAGAGGTCTTGAATCTTTATCTCGCCTTGCTGTGGCCAGTCCTCAGGAACCTGAGCTGGGTCTGGATTCAGCGAAAAAAAAATGTCTCTATTAGCTACATCAGGGTGGTCTAACTGGCGATTTCATCCTCTCCCCTCCCACTCCATTTTATCCAGCCCACCCACTCCCTTCGTAACCTGTAAATGTCACGTTATGTCTCTGGAAGGGAAACACAAAACTATTGCTTAAATGGCCAGTGGAAGTTTCTCAAATAGGCCATCGCACCCACCCCTCAGCAGCCAAAAGGTTGGGCCACCCCTGAGCTACATAATCTCACATATATTGAAACGCATATTGCAAATTCGATTGCTTTGTGAATCTGGGCTCACAACATTGGCCCTCGTGAATTTTGTTTCAGAGAGAAGTAGAGGAAATGAATGAATAACTTCCAGAAATAGCTTAAGGTGTTGTGATAACACTGAAGTGTTTCACTATCTTGGTAATTAAGGCAATGTGTGGAGCGCAATCAAATGTCGTACGTTTCCTAAATAATTAATGAATTAGTCTAATAATAATCCCTACCAAACAAAACAATAATAAATCGGTCATTTTCAATCGACGACTGTTTGTGGGGACACTGCTGTGCGCAATTGGCTGCCGCGATTCGCCCACAAATATACAGTCAATTCACTTTGCAGCATATTCTGTGAAGCATTTTGAGGCGTCGAGAAGACGTGAAAAGCACTATATCAAATGCAAGGATTATTATTATTATTAATATATTTTGCAGCTTGTGATGCGAGAGTATGGATTGAAATTTATGACCATTTTTCACATTCTTCGTAAGTTTACTCTCACTAATATACTCCTAAAACAAAATACCTCATTGTGCTCACTGTGACACAATGGCAGCCATCTCTTATAATAATAATCCTTGCATTACATATAGCCCCTTATCACGTCTTCGAGACGCCTCAAAGCGCTTCTCAGAATATACTGTAAAGTGAATTGACTTACAGATGCTTTTAAAAGATATGGAGCTCACTCAATGTAAAGTTATAGCTACGAACTGCCCATTTAATCGGCCAGATAATGTTAGAAGAACACATTTAGATTTCTTATCCAAGTAAAATGCTTTAAAAATGGTTGATAGCTGAGAGTGAAGGCATTTAAAACATTTTTCTTTGTTCAAAACCAAATGCATTAATAGTCTTGGATATTTTTGATGGGCCATAGTGGGTCATTTTATTCATATTTGGCCCATGTCCCAAATAACAGGCAAGAGACACTTTAGACTTGATAAGCCTTACCAATGGTTCCTTCATAATTCTCACTCTCAATGTTCAGGAAACTGTTGACTTTTTTCACAGCTCCCATCTGCACCTCCAGGTCAGCGAGATTTCTCACCACCCAGTTAAGGTAGTTACAAACCTGGATAAGACAAAACCAAAGCAACACACACTCTGTGAATCCAATTTGTTGCTGTTTTTAATCAGTAATCGAATGTGCAATTCCACACAAGGCCGAACATATCTAACGACCCCAAAGCTGACTTAATGCGATTGGTTTCACTTGCAGATATCTATCATGGGGTACAGATTCTGATCATGTTATTACGTGCATTGCCTTTAACAATTTAGGTCTTTAATAGGATTTCCCATTATAGCTGCACATTGTCAAAGGTGCTGTGTGTGATACTAAACAAAATATTTACCCACATATTCCATCCTTTGTCTGGGATAATCCATTAATACTAAATAATGGATATTAGTTAAAGGATTGTTAAAGATCTCATTGTCAATTCCTGGATATACAATCATAGAATCTTACAGCACAGAAGGAGGCCATTCGGCCCATCGTGTCTGTGCCGGCTCTTTGAAAGAGCCACCAACTAGTCCCACTCCCGCTCTTTCCCCGTAGCCCTGCAAATTTTTCCTTTTCAAGTAACTATCCAATTCCCTTCGAAAGATACGATTGAATCTGCTCCCATAACCCTTTCAGGCAGTGCATTCCAGATCGGAACAACTCTCTGGGTAAAACAATTTCTCCTCATCTCCCCTCTGGTTCTTTCGCCAACACACATCACCATTTTCACAGGGTATTATAATTTTCCATAATTCTATTTCAGTGCATGTGACTCGTTCATATTTTAGTCGCCATAATTCAGTTCCCATACTCCCGAAGGAAAGTCACTGTGAAAAATATCCTTGGCTTGGAAGCTTCCTGCGTTACTATTTGTGTGGCCTTAACAGTTCGCCTTTGTTGCCTTGGAAACTCTCTTTGAGACCTGTGAAAATCCATTTTGAGATTGAAATGTTCCCAATAGGTTTTTCATAGGTTATCAAAAACACTGTATTTATACTCAAAGGGAACCATCGTGAGATCTTAAATTTGGGAACTTCTAACTGCATCAATTCCAAATGCACCCACACGTGGTGAATATTCCCTCTAACATTCTTGATGTACCAATCTATGTGAAGCTGGGCAACACACGTGACTTCAAACTCACTTATTGGAGCATTTGACTCGACCCTTTGTGGGACGGACACTTAGTGGAACGATGGGTAGATGGATAAAATTATGATACGCATTTTTAAACTAATAACAAATTTCGGACCTCGGAGAACGTTTAAGACATCCAAATCTATTTCTAAAAAAAATATATTTGGACAGAATTTGGAGTCCTGTAGCTCAGTGGTTAGAGCACTCGCCTCGCAAGCGAGAGACCTGAGTTGATTCCCAGCAGGGCAAAACCTTGAGCAAGTTTCCTTACTTCACCCACCTGATAATAAGCCCTCAAGAAAAAAAACAATAATAAATTGGTTACTTCAATCCACGACTGTCTGTGGGACACTGCTGTGCGCAATTGGCTGTCACACTTCGCGCACAAATATATGGTCAATTCACTTTACAGTATATTTTGTGAAGCGCTTTGAGGCGTCTAGAAGACGTGAAAAGCGCTATATCAAATGCAAGGATTATTTTTAATCTTTTATGTTAAAATCAGAGCCAGAAGTGAGGATGTTGGCAGGAGGGAGGTGGCTTCCATCTTGTCTCTGTGAAGCTACAAAAATTGAGACCTTGATGTCTGACAGCCAGACAACATTTTTTTTAACATAACCAATTACTTTCTTTGAACCATTGGTAATTTGAAGAGAAGCCACGAAAGCTTAAGACATGTTGTAACACACATTTTCTGATGCAACATCCCTGGTTTTATTTTTTTTGGGGGGGGAGAAAGATAAAAGATTGAACTACATATAACATAAAATATATAATGCAAGGAAATTCATCAACATGGAAATTTGAACAAGGATTTAGAAAGATATAACTTTCTGGCTCAAAAATAGAGTCTCTCTGCTCTATTAACTTGACTAAGGCAAGTGGTTGAATTAATATACGTACTGTTAATGCATAGGTAAGTCCGAGTCCCACTAAGCTTGATGAAAGTTTGGTGTATGAGGCGCAGAATATGGAGGCCACAGCAGCAGTGAGTACAATACACGCACCAAGATAATCCTAATATAGGCAAAGAAAAAAATCTAATTACAACACTGAGATGTTTAACGTTAACATTTAGAATACATTTATATAATAATACAATAATAATCCTTGCATTTGATACAGCGCCTTATCACGTCTTTGAGACGTCTCACAGCGCTTCGCAGAACATGCTGTAAAGTGAATTGACTGTATATTTGTGGGCGAAACGCGGCAGCCAATTGCGCACAGCAGCGTCCCCACAAACAGCCGTGGGTTGATTGACCAATTCTTTTTTTAAGGAATTAGTACCCCAGAAAATTGATCCACCAATCGACTAATAACTGGGTGCCTACTGACTGCTAGGTAAATAAGGAAACTTACACCACGTGCCTCTAAGGAAACAAACCCAGGTCCTCTCGCTTGCGAGGTGAGCGCTCTAACCAGTTCCCTGCAGGATTTCACGCCCACATACACAACTGTGCTGTGCGTTAGATAACAAGGTGAAATCCTATTGACAGCCGGGTGACTCAGTCTCAGAGGACAAGCAAAGAGCCACAGTAATGACGATCTTATGAAGGCTGCCAGGCTCACATCCAGACTCAACAAGGCCTTGACAATTTCAAAACGTAAGACAAAGTCTCTGTCCAGGAATTTGAGCTCTCTAACTTCAGACAATTTTAGAGTTATACATTTGGCCTCTTATCTGTGTCAGCTCGCGTTATTTGTTTTACTATTTAATCCAAATTTGCTTTGTGGAATTGATCTGGTACATTGCTGCATACATGTCAAGATACCAGCATCACCTAACACACTCCAGTGTTTAAATTCTCCAATCAACTAATCTCAGTTATCTCCTCCCCTGCGTTGAGACTGTTTTATCTGAAATTGTTTTCCATTGCAATTTACCACCCACCCCCCCACCCCCACCCCGGCATCTCAGAAGGTTGTCTGATTCCGAGGCATTCGCCTACAAAAATACAGTCACTACACTTTATAATGAACCTTGTGAAGCACTGTGAGACATCCTCCTGGTGTAAACGGCACTATATCAAGCACAAGGAATATTATTTTAAATGGCTGGATTAATGAATATCCTGCATGCACTTGAACCCTGGCATCTGGTTAATTTGTAGAGTCCTGTAGCTCAGTGGTTAGAGCACTCGCCTCACAAACAGAAGGACCTGGGTTCGATTCCCGGGCAGGGCGAAACCTTGGGCAAGTTTTCTTACTCCACATGCCTTGGTTTACCGAGCAGTAAATAGGACCCTGGTTGTTAGTTGATTGGCGCATCGCTTTTCCGGGGGTAATAATCCCTTCAAAATAAATAAAATAATAATATCTGTTCACTCAATCTACCACTGTTTGTGGGACGCTGCTGTGCGCAATTGGCTGCTGCGTTTCACCCACAAAGGGCTGGGAAGTGGGATTGACATTAATTGCTCTATTCAAAGAGCCGGCACAGACTCGATGAGCCGAATGGCTTCTTTTTGTGCTGTACAATTCTATGATTCTATGATATACAGTCAATTCGCTTTACAGCATATTCTGTGAAGCGCTTTGAGACGTCTCGAAGACGTGATAAGGCGCTGTATCAAATACAAGGATTATTATTGTATCGGTATTAATTCAGATCCAGGATGTAGGATTGTACAACTGATCCTAACTTAGTTATACACCCTGGCCAGAGAGAGGAAGAACAAGGACCTTGGCTGAGACATTTTATCATTATTTAGCGATCCCTGTTGGAAAGTGCATGTATGAATGAATACGAGGTGATGAGTGACTGAATGGGCCTTGGCTGCAATGTATCTGTCCCAGATCACACATGAACAACAGATACTTGGGTAAGGCATTGAGAAGTTGAATGTGATAATAATAATAATAATAATAATAATAATCATTATCACGTCATTGAGATGTTGTTGCTGCTATAAAGCAAACCAGTGATATCAAGAGTAAGATAACTGGGATCTCAAAAAGAACTTGTTATTCTTCCTAATAAGAATGAAGCCCGTGGAATTTTATGTCATAATTTTAGAGTTACGCTAGCAAAGGGAGGGGACAAACTGGTCAATTCGACTTTGTCACGCAACTCTGATAACTTCATGTAAGTATGGCCGGCATTTGCAACTCAATACAATATGGGATGTATATCGTTAACCAAATGCAATGATGAAGGAAGCTTTTACTAAAGGGCATCAAGCAAATAGTGAATGCTTCAGAAATAGTCTGCAGAAAAGGAGTTAACAAATGCAAGGATTATCATTATTCACTTGATTCTCTTTATCTGAAACCTTCAACTGGAAGGAACAGTGTAAACACAGATTGTAGCTGTTCATTGTAATCATTACAGAAATAGCTAGCACTGGCAGGCCTGCCGAAGGTTTGCCAGATGAATGACGGAATGATAATTTTAAATAATGATGACATGTTTTACTTGATTTGTGAAACACAGGCCCCTTGGAACAAATTGTCCGTTGACTACTAGGCTATAGCGGGTATGAAACAGACAGACAACACTAAATCGAATTAATCGTGGGTAATTGGACTCTGGAATCTTTTAAGAAACCGGTAATATTCCAAGCTTTGGTTCTTTTTGGGGTTCAGACGCATGTTTGACACAGATGAAAACCATCACTGTAATCAAGAGTTCCATATGTATGTATGCCACCTCCGCTTTTCAGCATCTTGGGACCTCCTCCCGACATGAAAGATGCTCTATAAATATAATTTTGTTGTTGTTGTTGCGCCAGGAATGGAATGCGTACCCTCTCCTGGAGGGATGTACCCTGGTTAGCTAATGAGCCATAGGAACCAAGACATCATTTTAGATCCAGTTCAGTTCCAAGGAGACTCCCTTACCTCCCCCACCCCCAGATAAATAGTCACTAGTTCGTGCTTTGAACAAAGTAGGAGCAAGAGCTCAGATTGCCGACAGAATGTAACGAAGTACATTGGAATGAGCTAACTAAGCCTTTGCTGACTTAGCTCTGGCTTTCACACAGGCATTAAGTATCAGAGTGCTATTTTTAGACACGATTGGAGATTTTCCTCCTGTTGGTAACATTAACACACGACCATTGGCATCATGCATACTGGAGGTTCAGCAGTACCGAGATGTTTTTCTCTCTCAGTGCTACCCCAGCGGAGAGAGCTGAGCGAACGTACGGTTGAAACCCCCTAAATAAGGCATTTATTTGCGGCCGGAAGCCAATGATGCCATGATATCTATGATAATTCTCCATCCTTGAGGTTTACTGAACATACAACAACAACAACAACAAGATTCCATTTATAGAGCGCCTTTCACGTTGGGAGGACGTCCCAAGGCGCTGTACAGTTGGGTCAGGACCCGAGCAAGGGGGAAATGGTCAGGGTGAGGGGAGGGAAGGGAGGGAGAGAGGAGGGGCAGAAATGGTCAGGGTGAGGGGAGGGAAGGGAGGGGCGAGGAGGGGATAGAGTCGAGAGGAGAGCTGAAGGCTGAAGGTCAAAGAGAACGGTCTTGAGACTGGCCTTGAAGGAGGAAAGGGAGGAGGCGGCGAAGGCACTGGGGGATGGAGTTCCAGAGCCTCGGGGCTGAGAGGCTGAAGGCCACCGATGGTAGGGCGGTTGGGGCGGGGGATGTGGAGCAGACCGGAGCCAGAGGAACGGAGGGTACGGGCAGGTAGGTAGGGGATAGTAGGTCGGAGAGGTAGGAGGGAGCGAGGCCGTGAATGGCCTTGTAGGTGCGGATGAGGATCTTGAAATCGATCCTCTGGGGGATGGGGAGCCAGTGGAGGTGAGCGAGGGTGGGAGTGGTGTGGTCCCGAAGCCATATTCAACCATTCAACCAGGGGGTTGTGAGTGGGCCGTGGGGTGTTTCAAAGCGTTACTTATGTTGACTTACACCAGTGTAAACAAACCCCTAGGGGGCAGCACTCCCCTCCCAGGAAGCAAAATATTCCTTTCAGACCTGGATATTATTGTCTTTATTCTCCCCTGAAATGAGTGAGAATTAACGTAAATTCTGACTTTGCATGATTATTTTCCAGGGTTGATCTGCCAAGGACATGCATCGCTTTCCCCCGCCAACAAATGAAAGCCTCTGGACTGCTCAGTAAAACCAGAGAGACTGGTTTGTGCATTGCTGCCTTTTCCTCACTATTTCCCAATTAAGCGCGATATAAATGCAAGTTGTCGTTGCTGTTATTTTAATGTTATGATCATCAGACAGTAACACGGCTGCTCGGAGGAATCGATCGATTTTTTTTTGTTAGGTCAGGGTATTTTTGGGAGGTCAGGGTATTAAGGGCTATGGAAGCGGGAAATTGGAATTGAAAGGATTGCTTGAGGTACAGATCGGCCATGATCTAATTAAATGGCGAAACAGGCTCGAAGGGCTGAATGGCCTCCTCCTGTTCCTATGTTCCTGTGCAAGTTGTGTCACTGAATGCTCGATTTAGATTCTAAAAATTATAAACCAATAAACCAATAAGACCTGATAACCTGGGACACACATTTACTTAATTTCTTGTGACCGGTCACCTCGATGATGGGTTTGCTTGCAACCATGAACATTCGGAGAATAAATCACTAGGTCATACCGTTCTAACCTCCAACCATCTGTTGGCAGCTGAGAGAAACAAGTAGGCAATGTTATTGGCATCTGTGAGCTCCAGCATTCGCTGTTTAAACCTGGCTTCATGCCTGCAACAAAACAAATTAAATGTTTCAGTTCAAACAATACTATAAATTTCTGTGAGGAACCCACGTAGCCTGTGGGGAGCTTTCCATTGTTTCGTTCGCTGGGAGAAATGCTATTGTTAGGAGCAATAATACAATGATATGACAGAGATTTTCCTATCTAATCCATGTCTGGGTCACGGTTTAACATTTGGAAACAGAACCGCCGGTAAACAATTTGATTTGTGTTTGCGAATCAAGTTACCCTTTGGGAAGCAATTTAAGTCTCCCAGAAATACAATAGGATGAAGCATTGTTCAGCAGATATCTGACAGCTTCAAGGTAAAGGTAAACCTGTAGCACGGAAACGCACCCTAATCCCACTGATATTAAACCATCATAATACATGTTATTACAACTATCTCACACTACACGTCCATTATAACAACCAGCTCAGTTGGGTTACTGCAATCGGCCTGGGCTAAGCAGAGAAAAATAACAGGTTCCCATTACTGATCATTATCCAAATGCATTTATGTGGATATTGGGCAACAACAGGATCAGGCTCAGTTATAATAATAATATAAAATTATAATTACAATAATAATTATATATCAATTTGTGTTACAGCACAATTAGATAGGAATAAGGAAAATCTCTGTCATATGATTTTTTAAAAACATTATTATATTAAAAAATGAGTGAAATATCAACTTGCTGCAAAATTAGCTATTTAAGAAGCTCAAATATATTAAATGTGATATCCATTCATATGTAACGTGGCAGTCTTATTGGTCTGGCCTACCCTTCACTGTTAATAATAATAATAATAACAATAATAATGTCCTCTACAGTTGAATAAGTGGCTGACATTCAGTATCTAGGCTCACACATCTATTTGGATGATGTGTGGCTGCTTGTCTGAAGGGAACATAGCTCAACAGCAGATGACAAAAGGAAGTAAACTGCTAAAAATAACTTTAGATGTTGCAACAAATGCACTACCCAAAACTAAGTGAAGACTATGTTCACAACATGCATTCCCAGTAGCAGCGATCACGGTCTTACTGGAAAGCTCGGATGGTTGTAAGGCCTTCTGCAGTTTCTGAGAAGTGGCAGAGGAGAGGTAGCTGTGTACTGTCATCCAGCTCCTGGAGGTCCCTTCAGGAAATAAACAATTGAAAAAAGGGTCAACTAGTGCAAGCAGTTTAAAACCACTGGGAAGTGCTTCTACTTTTCTAGAGATATAAATCTGACAGGAGACACCAGTGTAAAGACACAACGGATGCCGAGTTTCAACATTTCTCACCGTCTTAGTCTTAAGGCCACAGTCTTAACATTTCTGATTACGCAGAATTCTTTTGAGAATTACGGAGAACCGGTTACACAATTAAGATTGATTGGCAAGTGGAAGATACGATTCAGGGAGCATTTGAGGGTTCTATTGCCTCTATCTTTTTGGAGAAATACGAGGGACACATTTACACTATATCACTGAGAAGTCTTAAGTTAAAGTTTCCTATTAAATGGGGGAATTAAGGGATCACACAAATGAATAGCAATATTGTTATGAGGTTTCAACAGTTAGTGAAAGTTACAAATGAACTTGGTTTAATGGAAAACATTTCAAACATTTGGACGTTACTTTACCTGGAAGCAACCCGGAAGTATTTCTGGATGAAGTAAAAAGCTATACCAAAAGGTACCATTGCTATGAGGAAAACGGGTGTGACATATGAGATCACGCCAATTGCTGACAGACAGAGAAGGGTTGATCTGGTCAGGGATTCCAGTGTTGGGGGGATATGCTGTTCGCAAGTAAAAAGCAAGAGTTACCAGTTGTATTCACAAGTTAAAGGTCGCTAATCATATCACAAACTGTGCCAAGTTTGGTTGAAGTAACTGTACTCATTGAACCAGTGTGATTTCACTCACGAAAATCTCCATCTTTTATTGAGTGCCATCCCAAGAACAGAAGCTGTCGTGAGGAAGTAATGATATCTTTTAGAAATGAATGAGCTAATATTTGCTATAACAAGCCTGTGATCTGAGTTCTATTGAAATGGAGAAAACTGCAATATTTGGTTCAATGAAAATCCAGGTGAAAGGCCAGTCCTGTAGCTCAGTGGTTAGAGCACTCGCTTTGCAAGCGAGAGACCTGAGTTCAATTCCAGGCAGAGGGCGAAACCTTGGGCAAGTTTCCTTACTCCACACAGAGCCTAATAATAATCCCTCCAAAACAAAAAACAATAATAAATTGGTCATTTTCAATCCATGACTGTTTGTGGGACATTGCTGTGCGCAATTGGCTGCCGCGTTCGCCCACAAATATACAGTCAATTCACTTTACAGTGTGTTCTGTGAAGCGCTTTGGGACGTCCTCCCGACGTGAAAAGCGCTATATCAAATGCAAGGATTATTATTATATATATCATTATTGTGCTGCAATAAAGATTTATATATAGCACATCAGGATGACATTCCAAGGTAATGGAAGAAGCCACAGATGGCACAAACCCTTGTAATATTGGAACGAGACCAATTGTTGCTGATCAGACCAGGCTGTGGCTTCCTAATCCTTCCACTCACTGTTGTCTAATGTTCCATTTCAAACATCCTCCCACTTATTAAAGCTGATGATCACCAGTGCTTTGTGGCTTAACTCACTATATGCCTCTCCATCTGTTGTCATGTTTTCTGGGAATGGCTTCCGCAACCGTTCAAAGCAGTGATGATTTTTGATACGAGCAGAATATTTTATTATATTTCTTTAAACAACTCAACGTTTTATCATATTTCTTTAAACGATTCAGTATTTTATTATATTTCTTCAAACAATTCTTAACTGCGAACTTTCTGCAGATCAATAAACTTTAGAAAAGGAAGAATGCCGTACTTGAGAGGGATGGAATAGATGAGTATGAGAGAGCGCATTTGGAGGCTTGGGGGTCACGTAGAGTATAAACGCGGGCACAGACTATTATACGGTCAGACTCCACCACTGCCAAGCTCTCTAGGACGCTACCCCATGTGGAGGGCTCTATATAAATGCAAGTTGTTGTTGTAGTACATACCTGATCAATTATGTTGGTGTCAGCAGAAAACCGATTGAGGATTTGGCCCAGAGGGGTTGACTCAAAGAATCTAAACAATTGAAAACAAACAGCAAAGGCCAGACAAATCAGCAAGCGAGGGTTCAAGGCTGTCAATCTGTCGCAAATATTCAACCCTGAAATGCAGAATTATCTTAGGAGGTCACAACCACAGTATTTTGCAAGATGAGACGTGTAAAATTTTCAAAATTAAATCTCAGCTGAAATTTATTTTGAAGATTTTTGGGGGGGGGCGCTGGGGGTTGGGGGAGTGGGGCGGGGGGGGTGGGAGTTGTGAGAAGGTTATGAGCTCAAACCTCATGTCAGGACTTTCAACTAATACAGTCCAGTCTTGGCTCCTTTGGATGAGACATTAAACAAAGTGCTAATTATTTGGTATTTGAAAAGAAGAGTGAGTTTCTCTCATTGTTCTGACCAACAATACGCTGGATAAAACTGGCCATTCATTTCATGGCTGTTGTGTTTAAATGAGCATAGCTGCGTGAAAATCGGCCACAAAATACACTCAATAAATTCACAATAATAATAATAACCCTTGCATTTGATATAGTACCTTATAACATCTTCAAGATGTCTCAAAACGCTTCACAGAACATACTGTAAAATGCACTGAATATATATTTTATGAGCGAAACACAAATAAATCCCATGAAGTACTTCAAGACATCCTCCCAAAGTAAAAGGAGCGATAGAAAAACACAAGGATTATTAATACTAACAGCACATTTCTTAAAAGGAAAGTGGTTAAGAAATTCCCCGAATAGACCTCATTGCCTCAATGAAGAGTCTTGACAAATCTAACCCTGTTATCTGTAAATTCAAGACTAGGCTCTGTCTTACCTCAATGGTGATAAAATTATCTTGTTGAGGAGATTACGGTGAAGATTCTTGGCTGCTGTGAGTCCCATCCATTCCACAGTCAGGGAGGTGATGAGACATAAAGCAATGCCAACACTGCACAGAATGCTAAACCACAGTTTGCAGTAGCCGTGGTCAAATGTCCCATCCTGAGCAGAGAAACAGAATGTAGATCTAAATAAGCAAGCCTGCTTTCCTTCTTAGATGTTTTAATACAGTTAATCATCTTCAGTCAGATGAGAAGTGCGTTAATATAATGTGCCATACAACGTAGCAGCAATGCTGTACAAATGAACTATTCTGTCTCCAGGTTTGACGAACCTAAGTAACGTTAGTTCACACATCTACAAGAAAATGTCCTGAATTTCGCTGGCTTGGCTGTCAGACAGCCAGAATCAACATCAATTTGGGAGGTAAAAGGAATTATACTTATCCACTGCACTACCCAAATGCCCCTTCTACCAACTTCATGCTATAGAAAATATCAAATGCAATACTTTAATGTTTCTAAAGTGGCTTAACCATTATATCTTGTACAGGATGTCGTAACGTGATAACGTGTTGAATGTTTTGTCAACCCAGAGATTAGCCGAAGTCTTGCGAATGAATAATATCGTGAGTTTCCTAGATTACTATTTACTTAATGGAAGTTTCGTACTTACATCTTAATAATAATACATTTCCTTAAAATGATAGAAAACGTGAAATCTACCCTTATTTGAGAAAAAAATGGAAAATAAAATTGATAAGTTTCTTATAAAAGTTTTATACGACTTCGTAATAATTATTATATGCATCATTCAATAATAAATATATTGACCCTATTATTAATATTAAATATTGGCATTTTCAGCTTTATATAGAATACTTAAGAGTTCTTGGTTAGTAGTCTAACTACTCATATAGCAATTGCCAGATAATATGCTCTGTTTCAGAAGGCTCAGCCTTACAGTAAACTATCTTTGAATCAATTACCTCTTCAGCTACTGGGCCATTAGTTCCTGATATTGACTGGTTAATGTAACCCGGCGTCCACTTTGCCAGCCAATAGTCAATAGCCACCATAACAGAGTGCTTCAATAACTTGGAAATGATCATCAGAAAGAGTAAGAGGAACCCTCCAGATGTCAGATATCTCCAGCACGCTCGCCAAGGCATTTTGGTCCGAAGTCTCATTACCGAAGACATGTTATCTTCATCGTCCTCTTCTAAGTCTTCCTCTATGGTCAAAGGTATATGAAACATAATAATAATAATCCTTGCATTATAGCGCCTTATTACATCTTCGAGACGGCTCAAAGCTCTTCACAGCATATACTGTAAAGTGAATCGACTACATTTTGTGGGCAAAACGCAGCAGCCAATTGCACACAGCAGCGTCCCTCAAACAGTTGTGGATTAAGTAACCAAATTATTATTAATATTATTATTATTATTTTATTTATTTTGAAGGGATCATTACTCCCGGAAAAGCGATCCGCCAATGGACGTGGACTGCTAGGCAAACAGAAGTGCGTGTGTGGAGTCAGGAAACTTGCCCAATGTTTTGCCCTGCCCGTCCGGGAATCGAATACGTATAACTCTTGTGGTTAAAACCTCCAAGAATAAAATTTGATAAGAATAATATTTATGAACCTCTATGAATAAAATTTCTAGTTTGCTGAGACACAAGTTGAGAAAAACCTCTATGAATAAAATTTTTTGTACGCTTTCCTTGTAAACATTGGTAAGGGACAAATTATACCCAGGTCCATATTTACTCTGTGTAGTATTTTAGTGGCTACAATTTGGCAGATTCTTGAATAGAGTCATAAATCAGCAGCTCGTTTCCTGTAAATTCTTTTAAGAACTGCAGAAAAGTGACTTCAGATCTGAGACTGGATTAAAAACACTGGCAAACTCCAGATCCGCTAAAATGCTCTAAATAGAATACACCTATACCCCGGAGTAATTTCTCCCCAGAAGTTTATCTTGTACCAATCGCTGAAAAAATTATCGCTCTTATTTTATTGCCATTTTACTCGTAATAAGTAAGAAAAATTTTTTTTAGCAATGACTCATATGATAAGCGCTGTTGTCTCATCATGTTTACAATAGTTTTTAAGAGATTTAGGATGTCATGATAACAAAAAATTTGTTAGGTCAGGGTATTAAGGGATATTGGGGCAAGGGGAGGAAACTGGAGTTGAGATACAAATCAGACGTGATCGTTTAGAATGGCGGAACGGGCTCGAGGAGCTGAATAGCCTACTCCTGTTTCTATGTTTCATTACTGTATCATCTTTTCCCTCTCTTTTTGACTCCTCATATAGAACGCTGGTACGGTTAAAGTCAGCTAGGACTTGAACATTGAGCGTAGGTTCTTAGAGCGAAGCAGGGGGAAGTAAACGTTGGTGAATAACGTTGATAAGCACAGCAAAAAATCTTCACCTTCATCCTCATCATCCATTTGCGCTTTTGCTTCACGGGAATACATGGCTCTCCGCAAATTCTTCCTCTCCAGAGTCGTTTGGCTTTCACCTTCAGTGTCCTGGGAACAAGACAGCTTAAATTATTCAAATTCAAATTTTCTTAAAAAAATAACACTCTGAATTTCAAAGTTGACTTAACATATTAAAGACGTTATATTTTGGCACATGTTACGGTTCCTTAGAAACGAACTATTCCCGTTGGGTGGAGATTTTTTTTATCATCACCGTAGCAAAATAACAATAATCATCCTTACATTTGAAATAGCGTCTTATCACGTCTTCGAGACGTCTAAAAGCGCTTCACGGAATATACTGTAAGTGAATTGACTGTATATTTTGTGGGCGAAACATCTCCCGTTACTCCCGTTAAATATCACTTACTAAATAGCATTCATCATAGCACCAGTGATTTTCACTGGAGCAATAAAAACTCCCTCTTTAGCATATGAGAAAAGTATAAAACCACCACGGAAATCAAGCCCTGACAGAGTTAATTTGGTGAAAGGTGATGAATTGCATAAACAGCCTAGCTTGCTGAGACACAAGTTGAGAATTCAAGGGGTCTGGATGCCTCAGCAGCCCTCTGTATCTGCGTCCTATCTGGAAAGACATACAATCAATGGATCATGACTGTTCCATGTTTACTCCAGCCTGTCACAAATGGAATGAGTAAAAACCTTGCTGATCTTCGAGACTTGCGTTGAACTTGCAGAGCTTCATGAACATATCACAGTAATAATATGTTTCATAAACCAATGCAAAATACTTTTAAAAGTTCAAACATTACTTTTTCCAATTCCTGATCCTGTCTATTCATCAGTGTTTTCCAGTGTTGATACAGCTCCACATCATGATTCTGGATGTCCTTTAGGGTGCCTTCCCTGATGATTGTCCCATCTTTCATAGCAATTATCTGGAAGATAAAACAAAAGCACTTATTTTCTGGCTAAGACAAGACTTGTGCCTTTTAGCAGGAAATGCCCTCATTCTGAGAACAGATTTGGAAACTTTTTCTCTGATAGAAACAGTAAGCCTTGGGCAGTCCAGGCAGTAACATGATTGCCTTCTAAGCCGTTATCCCAAGATAATTATGTGACTAGCACTAGTGTCTGCCATTTGTGGGAGAAACGTCACTTCTCAGCTGAACTTTGCGCAGATCTAAATCAATTTACCAGATCTAAAAGGAATTGGATTCTTAATAATAATAATAATCCTTGCATTTGATATAGCACATTATCACGTCTGCAAGACGTCTCAAAGCGCTTCACAAAATATATCATAAAGTGAATTGGCTGTATATCTTGTGGGTGAAACGCAGCGGCTAATTGCACACAGCAGTGTCACACAATCAGTCGTAGATGTGGGTGTGAATCATGAATTGTAGATTTTTCTGTACCCAACTGAAACAGGTTAATTGGTATTATAACACAGTTTTCTTTAGCTTTCGCTATTTATTTTAGTGGGTTAGTTGGTGGACAGTGGGGATGGGGGAGAAGTATTGTTGAAAGTAACTTTTCCATCCTGGTGACTGATGTACTGCTAGAACAGTGTATCTCTCTGCTCCCTAAGTATAAAACCACTGAGAGCTGGGAATTGACGTCTAAGTGACAATCTGTCCTTGGGAGTCCTTAAGTCAGCCTAACTTCAATTCGTGTCACTTTCCCAGGATAATGGAAGCTTTCATCCATCAAAAAGTATTTGAAAGAAAAATGGTACTTTAATACTACCTTATCACGTCAAATTGATTGAAAGCATTTCACTGGTCATTACTTCTGGCAGCACTTTCATCTGTTAGTGTGCACGTTGTAGGTTCAAGCTTTACGTCAGTACTTGAGCTTATAGTCTAGACTGACAAACCACTGGACTACATTGCTGAAATCACTGGGCTTTGGATGTGATATTAAATCGATGTTGCGCCTGCCTGTGGATGTTAAGAATCCCATAACTTTTCGAAAAGGGATGGGAGTTTTTCTTTGTGCCCTGGCCAATGGATAAAATTATTCATTCACTCTGTGGCAGTTTGAGAGAGTCTGCTACATTAAAATGTCTATAAAACAGTCTGTTTTCAACAGCTACCAGCCAATCCATGCAGATATGACTGTGTCTCCTTGAGCAATAAAGTGTTCTGTACTTCAGTGGGATTCAGGAAAGACGTTTCGCCCACAAACTACACAATCATTTCACTTTATAGTATATTCTGTGAAGCGCTTAGAGACGTCTCAAAGACATGATACGACGACGTATCAAATGCAAGGATTATTATTGTATTATAATAAATTCATGAAATGGATTTTCACTTTTGTCTATCATTGTTCATGGAGCTGTTGGGGCAGTAATTTGTTTGAGTATCAGTGTGTTCAGTATGAGAGAGTTTGCCTGGAGATCAAAATCAGTTCCCTTCAAAATGACCCTTCACCCATGGCATCAACCACATATTTGTTTTTCTCTCTGTGTGCACATCCGCATAATCAGACATCATCAATTATTTGCATTAATACCTAGCTTTCCCACACTGGACATCTTATTGCTAAAATAAGTACGTGATTCCATGTGGGAGACAATGCGATTTACGTTGATCCAATTTGTAGTAAATTTGAATCAGTAGCAGCTTCAGTTTTATCTGACCTGCCATCATTCTTGAGTGTCATTTCTGAGAATATTATTGAGGATTATTATTATTAATATGACTTACCCAGTCGGCGTGTGTTAGATACTGCAGCTTGTGTGTCACCAAAACAATTGTTCTCTTGTCTTCACGAAGAAACTTGAGGATTCCTTCCTGCATTAGGTGGTCACTGAGATGAATATCCAATGCAGAGAATGGATCATCCTGATGGGGAAATAAAGCCAGACTTTTATACATCTTGTGCTTCATATATATTATATATATATACATTTGTGTAATATATACACTATTGTTTTATGCACTTAATAGGTTCAGTTTCTGTTTCTTCCTGGAGCAACTTATCTAGTGCAAAGCGCTCACAGAGTAAATAATTATGGCATAACTCGAGAAATATTCAATCGTGAAAATTTATTATTTTGATCGACCAAAAAGGTTGGCTACCACTGGTCTAGACTATGTGATTACAAATCTCGATGTGGGGCTTGAACGCACAACCTTCTGATTCAGAGATGAAAGTGCTACTACTGCTCCAGGCCAACAGGTTTTTTTACATAGCAAAGCGACGGCCAGAAACGAGCACCACCTCATATCGCGGTAAGCAGGGTATGACTCCTTACCAAGAACACAATACTTGTATTTTGATATAATGCTCGCGCTACACAGATTCTTTGCCTCTGACCTCCACTCAGATTAATCCCCTGTATAAAGAAAAAAGTCACATTATGAGTCGGATCAGTTCTGAATTAATTATTTTATTATTATCATTCTTTTGTTGAACACTGTTAGCAATGACGGAGAGTAATCTCTGTGAGTTCAACATCACACCAGCAAAGGCACCTTTGACCTTGGTGAGGCTTGAATATGACTTGGAATGTATTTAGTCGATTGTAAGAAAGAATTGAATGGGCTGCTTGCCTTCAAGACAAAGGGTCACACTCAAAACGCTACCTATTTTCTCTTTGAGATGCAGTCTGATTGCCAATATTTTCCACGTTTATTTTACATTAGGGATGTTCAGTGCATACGTATCTGATCAGTATATTACTTATATCCAGATGGACCCGAGTGATGGAATATGAAGGAACGTCAGGCTCTGGATTCCTCTGTTTGGTTTAAGCTACTAAATCCAGGTATGAGATGTCAGCAAAACTACATATAGGGCAACCCCAGCGTTAGGTCATCACTGAGATCACCCCCTGTGGGGCCTACACGTCAATATGCACAAGAAATACAGATGCTGTCAGCCGTGTTTCTTGCCATTAGCAAGCACGTCCGCGCACACATTGAGTGAGGTCAGTACGAGCGACGTGAGTGGTGACACGATGACGTTGACCTCAGCCATTTTCTCATGTTTCGCTTAGAATGCTGGCCTTGAGCTATTGGACCCAAACAGACAACAACAACAACTAAGAACATACACATTACATTTGTATAGCGCCTTTCAAGTCGGGAGGACATCCCAAGGCACTGATTATAACCACAGTATTACAGCGTCGCCCTCTATTAGTTCAGACACCTGGATGAACAATACAACTACAAGTGGAGCTTATTCCGTTTCACTTTACTGCAAAGCTACATTCACAAAGATTATGAATGTGCGATTTGATAAATACTTTGTTTGATATTTACCCTCTCTCCTATCTCGGTTTGGTCTCCAAATGGTAACAGGTCAATATCGGGCTGAAGAGAGCAGGCTTCAATGACAGCATTGTACCTAAGAGCGTGAGAAAAGGTAGGTATTAAAGTTACAACCTGGCCTGATCCAGAGATGGGTGGCCATTTTGCTTGTGAGTCTTGTGTTTGGACTTAAAACAACTTTGGGATTCGTGGCTACATATTTGGCACGTGAAAATTAACATAAGAAACACAGTCATTAATTATCATGGTTCCAGTCTGATTTACCTTTGTTTTATGAAGGGGCTTCCGAAGGTAATGTTTTCTTCCAGTGTGGCGTTCAGTAGCCAAGGCTTCTGAGCAGAATAAGCCACTGAGTTTCGATTTCTAGTAGTGAAATTATAACAAAAAAAAGCAATTCAACACATTTCCAGCCTGACAGAAGAGAGCCAAATAAAGTCAAACAGTTGGGAACGTAAGACCCTGATTCCAAACAGGTCACAAGCAATAATGTAGCACAGGATGTTTGACTTTCCCAGGCCTTGCGCTGAGCAGTGTGGAAAATTGTACCATGTAGAATCCGGATTAGAATGTAAACACAAGAGCGATGCCTGGTTTCTGTCCTCGTCCCCACTTAAGTTCTCGTTCTCTCCCCTGTTTCTATTTCTCCTACCGCACTTCATTCCCGAGTCAACACAACGTGCTTCCAGCAAGCTGTCAATAAGCCAATAAGGCAAATAATGGACCACGTGTAACTAGATGGACTATTCTGTGAAGCGCTTTGAGACGTCAAGAAGACGTGAAAAGCGCTATATCAAATGCAAGGATTATTAATATTATTATTCAATATCGAATGGTTAACCCATTCCCTACACCGGCTGCCACCTGCCAGAGCTCATCAACGATCCTTTCAATCAAAATGTCTACTGATGCTTACCATCTTAAGTACTTGTAATCCTTGCTTTTGATATAATATCTTATCATATCAAAACGTCTCAAAGTGCTTCATAGTAGTTGCTTTTAAGTGTGTTGACTAAGTGAATCGACAGATAAACTTCACTAGTTCCTGAGGCAGGTTTTTGTGCTGAACATATTTTATACTGAATAAGCCGCATAGGAACTCGTTCAATACACTGTTTGATCAAATGAGAAGTGGAACCTCAATCTTTGCTTAAGTAGATCAGTAAAAGAATTGGGCAAGTTTCAAAACAACACCTGGAACATTATTTAAAATAAGCACAATAATACTAAATAATAACAACAATATTCCTTGCATTGAGGGCCTCTGAGATGTGTCTAACTTCCTTGCCAGCAGGTCACTTCAACATTACATTCTGTTTTCTGCGCAAAGAGGGAAGTGATGTCAGCTATTACCCAACGACCCCTAACTAGCAATGGAAAGCTAAAACTATAATAATCCTTGCACTTGGTAGAGCTCCTTTACAGTGATGTCCCACAGACAGACATGATGCACAATGTGCTTAACAACATGACAAGAGACCACATTGCAGAGAGGACATGCACTGATTGCAGAATGACGTGATCGTGTAGCACAAATTACCTCCAACTTGCTTCTTGGTTCAACTCATTCTCAGGCTGTCTAGAACTTATGGCAAGAATAAAGACATAACCATGTCAGGATTAGTGCCCAACTATAAACGATCCGCAGGCAACATAGTTGTTGTGACACTGACATGCTAATAACAGAAACACTCTTCATTCTGGCAAATGATTTTCTCACCTCTAACCCTTCATTTAAAAATTACAAAATATTTGGATTAAATCCAGCCCCCAACGATAATAAGAAACTGTGGCCATGATTAATTGGTTTAACAACAATCTAATAATAATAATAATATTTGCATTTGCTACAGGACCTTATTACGTCATTCAGACGTCTCAAAGCGCTTCACAGAATATATTGTAAAGTGAATCGACTGGATATTTTGTGGGTGAAATGCGGCAGCCAATTCCACCCAAATCCCTTCAAACCCACAGAATCACAGAAAGGATGTTATTCCAGTCCAATTCAAAATGTTAGCAGGGATCTATAATGGCAGAAATGTATCTTGTGCTTTTTAAAGCCATAAACCTGAATACCTTCCTGACTGTTGATTTAGAACATGTTTTGTTTCATCTAATGCAAACGATGATGAACAGAGGCAAGCGCTGAAGGTGCACATTTTTTGTTATGAGATGAAAATGAAACAAAAAAAATCTAGACCCATAGCTCAATGGGTGGAAATTCTATTTAAATGTTATTTAAGTGTTAAAAAGTCATGATTTCACTCACTTGCTCCAGTAAACCTTCCCAGAAATGTTTTGCATCTCTCCGAGGGTAGCAAGGAGAAGGGAAGATTTTCCACATCCCACCTGTCCTACAATCATTGTCAATTCTCCTGGAAATTAACACACACAAAACTTATTTTACTTGTTGAATAATACTACAATACTTCCTTACCATTTAGCTTTTGCACATCCAATGTTAATAATAATAATCCTGGCATTTGATATAGCGCCTTATCACGTCGTTCAGACGTCTCAAAACGCTTCACAGCATATACTGTAAAGTGAATTTACTGTGTATTTTGTGGGTGCAAAGCCCCAAACCTAAACCACGCTCCCTGAGTTCTGCACTGGAGTGAAATCCTAGATAATAAGACCAAATCCCAATGAGGGGTTTGAACCCTGTTATCCTGTGAGTTAGAAGCAAGTGCACTGCCAACTGAGCCAAGCCAATGCTTTATAAAAGTAGCTTCCGTGGAAAATCAGTATGTGTCATCAGGCTATGGGACCAAGGAGGGATCACAGTTAAGATTAATTTATTCTCTTCCGAAAGCCACGCACATGAACTTTCCAGGAAGGGTCACTGGCAGGAAATCAAGAGCAGAAACCCTGGCAGATTGTCTTCTCCCCAAGGGCTCTGAAGCCCTGGGCTGGGATCGGCAAGCTCTGCATAGATCCTCTGCAACAACCAAACTGTAACGGATCTGGATGGCTCAGGGATACATCTGGCTGTGCCTTCACCCACTGCACCACGGTGAAAACTCGTGGCTTTTTTCATAATAATCCTCGCATTTGATTTCGCGGCTTAACGCGTCTTCGAGACGTCTCGAAACGCTTCGCAGAATGTACCGTAAAATGAATTGGCTGTATATACTTTTTGTGGGCGAAACGCGGCAGCCAATTTCGCACAGCGGTGTTCCCGCAAACAGTCGTGGATTGAGTGAACAAATTATTATTTACTTAATTTGAAGGGATTATTATCCCCAGAAAAGCGATCCGTTAGGTAAACAGAGGCGTGTGGAGTAAGGAAACTTGCCTAACATTCGCTGTGCTCGGGAATCGAACCCAGGTCCTCTCCCTATAACCGCTAAGCTACAGGACTCCACAACAATCATATGGCTGTGCCTTCACCCGCTACAGCATGGGGAAAATGTGATTATTTAATCTGGAACCAGAATCAGACTAAACAGTTTTGTTTAATAAAAATGAAGTTTGAAAAAGTCTTCCCATTTCTTGCTCACTCTCCTTTTGTTAACTGCTGTGAAGCCAATCACTTGTGTAACTGGTGTTATACTGTCATTCCCAAACAGAACCTTGTGCATATCTATTCACATGGCACAGTCTGATGAATGGATTTAACACGAACCTGTTGGTATCCTGATGTTGATGTCAGTAACTGTTGCCATCCCACTTCCCCAGGAGAAGGATCCGTTAGTAACCTGTAATTATCAAATGCTTCCAATTAATCCAAAAAGCAAAACACTGCGAGTCTTTCGAGTAATCAGAAAGAATTGGTGTTTTTGTAGAACCTCGTCACGCCAAACATTGCAAAGCACTTTACAATAGTTAGTGTTTAACTGCTGCATGTTTGGTGTGGATTTTATGTGATTTCCAGGTCCATTTATCATTGAATCAATTTTGAATCCAGTTCCCAGGACAATATCAAGGAGTCTGTCCATTTATAAGTCCATTTATACCACCGTTAATTCCAAAAAATACCCCAATATATCATAAATTCCTTTGATAATATTTTTCTTCCAGCCCTCTAAGAGGACATCTGTACTTCGTGGCTTCAAAGATTTGAGCTTAATGATTGTAGGATTTTTTTAAAATTATGCAGTAGGAATAAAGGTAAAAAACATTAACCATTTTCCCTCTCTTTCATGCACAATCTGCCAAACTGCAAACTTTACCAACTCACTATCTACTGAAAGTGCTTGTATATTCACTGATCTAAGAGGACACGGCCTGCGATTAAAGGGGAAAATTCAGACCAAATCTACGCAAACACCATTTCAGTGAGCGAATAGTGAACCTGTGGAACAGGCTCCCTGGGGAGACGGTTGAAGCACGAAATGTTGATTCTTTCAAACACAGATTAGATAGTTTTCTTTTAGGAAATAACATTATGGGATGTAGAACATAGGAAGGAGTTCGGGACATATGTGCCTGTGACCACCAGGAAGGCGGAAGGTGAACGAGATGGACCTCGGTCTTTTTTCGTCCGGTGTTTCTTATGCTCTTGTGATTCCCAAATGTCCTCAAGCAAGGAAGCTAAATTCTGATTGGTGTTATGCTTAGCATCTTGAGTATATGGGGGGAGATTGATTATCAGCCGCCATCATCAAAAGCTCAGAGGGTTTGTGACCACCTGAAGTTCAGCTCACAAGACACTTGAAGTTTCACATCCAAATGTTTTCCTTCACCACCACTATTGGTAGACATCTCTTCATTGGGTACAGAGAGCTGTAACCACATTTCTCAAACCATTGCCTTTGAATGACCATCATGTGTCATGTTTCAACACCGAAACTCAATGCAAGCCCTTTTTGCAGCTAATAGTAGATTAACATCCCAAATTGTATTGAAAATATAACTTACTTCACTGAATGAATGTAAGTATAATTGTTGCATAATGTACTGTGGGAAACTACTACTGTAACAATGAGCTGACGGAGATTTTTGGGGGTTAACAACTTTTATGAGTAACTGTCCAAATCCAAACGTTTTATGTTCTTTTGTTCCCGCTTGTCTCCAAAGAGAGTTTTTTTTGTTGCTTTACTTTCAAGCATGAGAACCCCGGTTGTATAAAGTGAATTAATTGCAAGTCACTGACCTTGACTGACACATCGTCTGTCTCAAAGGACTGAAAGTGCCTCCTTAGTGGCTGATCATGACCTTCCAGCTGGACTCTCAAGGGCTGTCTTCTGTTTATGGCTTTCGTGTGCTGAGCAGCGAATATAAAACATTTCATCACAACAGTCACATACTAACTCAAAAGTTAATTCGGTTCCTTCGATGCGTCAAATTATTATGTGCTTTAATTTTTGAAATTAAAGGCTTCTTTGCTTTTATAATAGAAAATACACACGAGGGTTGTGAACACAAGACTCAGTAAAACATAGGTCACTGCATTCACAGCGACTTCAGTTTTGCGGATTGCAAAATCCTGCGAAATTGCAGGATTTTCAACGAAATGTACTGAAAGCCGCTGAGAAGCAACTGCAATCCCGAAGGCGTTTTGCTGTCAGTCTGTTTCTTGGTCACAAATGGGTCCAAAAAAGTGTAACAAAACTCATTTGGCTTGAGAAGGAAAATTTTCCTTGTGTCCTGGCTAACAACACCCCCCACCAGATAAAATAAGTCATTCACTTCATAGCTGTTTCGGGGATCATTGCTGTGAACAAATTGGCTGCTGCGGTCACCGGCAACATACAGTAAATCTTGTGAAGCACTTTGAGATGTCTTGATGACATGATAAAGCACTTCCTTTATCACCACTTACACAACAACAACTTGCATTGATATAGCGTCCCAGAGTGCTCGATACACATTGTTTTGGAAGAAAAATCATGCGAGAGATAATTACTGTCCAACAGGACATTTGTGATAACGGTTGAATAAAAATCAACAGTTACATTTCTAGTAAAATTTAAGTAATAATGTGTCTGACCTTGGTTTTTGAAAGCTTACTTAATTTATGGTTTGTCATTAATCAGCACCAAGCCTACATCTCCTGGGAAGATGTGCACAATTTAGGATGAACAACAAATCTCCACTGGAACCAGATGCGGATGTTTAACCAACAGAACATTTTGCCATCGGAGAAGATTTATTGTTTGCTCAGAGAAATAATATTAGAGAAATAATCCGCATTATTGGAGGAATAAGACACTAAAAAAAAAACCTTTTGATTTGATTTCCATTAATCTGTCTTTTTAGTCAAGCCTGAATCGTTTTTTTTCCACCAAAATGATGCACAATCCAATTTTCAGAGGTTAGAGCAACACTCTTAATATTTCACGGCGCTACACAGTAATCGTAAGAGCATAAGAATTTGCGGGGTTTTTTTTTAAACAGATTGTTTTCTTAATGATTTTCTTTTCTTCTCTCGAGCAAAGGAGAAGGGAGACGCAACTAAACTCACTCCATTTTCAGGGGGACCTTCTTTGCATTTTCCGAGGGAATTCATTCAAACATATGACCTGCAAGGTTTATTTTAAACCCACAACTCTAACACAAATCGCAATGCTCGTTTTGTTACTCACAATTCCTAAATGTTTTTTGCACGTCTCCAAATTCACAGAAGTGTCACCTCGAAAACCGTCAGATATCTCGTCGCTCAGGAGAAACTCCCTCAACTTCTGCTCACTGGCGGAAGATTTAAGAGTGAAATATCAGCATCGGGTGGAGAAACCAGGTCGAAGCACTTGACTAAAACGAACAAAGGCACCCAATGAAATAACAGTGAATCATTCAAACAGAAGTCAGATTACTACACGGTTTAATTCAGTTTCATTCATTTCGATGATCCTATTTTGAAGAAATGATACACTGTTTTAGCAATAAAATCCTCTGCTTTTTACTTCTCTTTTGAAACACACTGTTGGTCTTGGAGCACTGAAATCCTACGAGTGAAACCAACAATAAGGAAACTTGGCCCAATGTTTCGCCCTGCCTGGGAATCGAACCCAGGTCCTCTCGCTTGCGAGGCGATTGCTCTAACCACTAAACTACTCCTGCAGCTTAGCGGTCAGGACTAGAGGCTGAGAATTTTCAGACCTAATCGATAATAAATAATAATAATAATCAGTACATGTCCCAGAAGCTGGAAAACTGAATGGAAAAACCTACTTCAGCTGGCAAAAATGTTTTTTCTGTTTTAATTACTGTTCATGTGCCAGCCAGACCCAGTTGATGGTACTGAGTCAGAAGGTTATGGCTTCCAGCCCCATGCCAGGACTTTGAGCTCATAATCCCGATCAGTCTCTCTCTTATTTCATAAGAGTTATAAATATTGTCATTTACAACTCTCTTACAGCTGTTATTTTAAACTATTCTCTGGGTTGGGATACAATCTTGAGGCATCTGATCAGGAGTCAAATGGTTTATCTTCAGAATTTGCAGAGGTGCCCTTAAAGTTTGTATTAAACTTTGTACAGCGCATCTCTCTCTCAGTCCAGCTGATCCTCTAAATCAGGGCGGTCCAACTGGTGGCCCGTGGGTCGCTTCCGTCCCCCATCCCCTCTCCCTCCATCTCGTCTGGTCCACCCACGCTCCCTCCATAATCCGTAAATGTTACGTTATGTTTCTGGAAGGGAAACACAAAAATATTGCTCTGCGGCCCGGGGAAGTTTCTCAAATAAGGCATCCGGCCCTCAGCAGCCAAAAGGTTGGACCCCCCACTCCCTGCTCCAAATCAAATGAAAGTCAAGCTCCGGACATTCATTGCACTTTTCATCTTGCAAATGCTTACGAGAATCAAAGTGATTCACTTCTTATATGTCCTCACCTTTCTGGACCCTAGAGAACGTGCCCTTCTTCCTTTATTTGTCTCGTGGTAAATCCCATTAGATCCCACAATGTATCACAACCTTTTTCATTCTCTAGCAAACCCACCAAAAGCAGAGATAGTGTCACTGAGCACCCTTTTAATGAGCCTCTTGAAACAGACTACTTCAGCTAAGTAACTTGTCTGACCCTTCAGCTAAGAGTCTCGTTTATCTTATTCAGAGGTTGAACAGGTGCTGAACTTGTGATGGGATATCACGGCTGTGGCGGTTTTACAATCTCCTTTTTCTGAGAAACTAATCTTCCTCCAAAAGTCTGCAGTTTTTCAAGGTACACAATGCCTGTGCCCGTGGCCAACTACAGCTTTGTTCCATTACTCATCATTCCCTTTGATCACAAGCCCAATCCTGGCAGAGGTTAGTATACTCAAGCTCACATTCACATAACACATCCCAGTCAATGTCAGCCTTGTTTCTAGTCAGGACAGAATGGGCTGCAAGCTGACAACCTGCAGTCTGTCTGTTTTACATTTAAGCCTCAAGACTTGTATGTGCCTCGTACTATCCATTTCACCGAGTGCTATACAAATTGGTCTGCAATCTTATTCCTGTTCTACTAAAATTTATGGGACCCAGAAATTAGACCACAATAAAACAGGAGAACCAAATAAAAGATCTCACACAAAACATAAAATAAATTACCAGTAAAACAAAACTACAGTCCGACAATTAGATTTACAGGCACTACATCATACAAATACTCATTTTTTTTGAGGACTGTACATGGGGAAAAGAATTATTAACATTTTCTGTTTTTAATCCTCTGCATTTTTTGCCTCCGTTCAATCATGGTAAATGTGGGAACATGGAACATCTGTGACCGATTTGAAGAAGGAATCTTTAAACGTCACAATGGTGGGGAGGGGCGGGGGGGAGAGAGCAACTGGCTTCTTCCCAGAAGATAATAATAATCCATGCATTTGATACAGCACCTTATCACGTCTTCGAGACGTCTCAAAGCGCTTCACAGAATATACTGCAAAGTGAATTGACTGTATATCTTGTGGGTGAAACCCGGCAGCCAATTGTGCATAGCACTGTCCCGCCCCCCCCCCACAAACAGCCGTGGAACGAGTGACCAAATTATTTTTTGTTTCTTTTTTTTTCTTGAGGGATTATTATCAGGCGTGGGTGTGGAGTAAGGAAGCTTGCCCAAGGTTTCGCCGCGACCTGCCGGGTAATCGAACCCAGGTCTCTCGCTTGCGAGGCGAGCGCTGTAACCACTGAGCTACAGGACACCACAGGACGTCTAAATAGTTGAGACTTACAATTTCTCAAGTTTCGCCACGTGTTTTTGCAGCCATCGTATTCCCCCAGTTGACCACAAATATCCCCAGAAAGGCACAAATCATCTAGATTTTTTCCATGGGTGCAAAGTCTCGAGCACTGAGCAACCCACAGGTCTCTCACGGTAGGAATTTGCTTGTGTACCTGACCCTTGCTTTCACAGCAAACCTGACCACAGTGGACAGCAGAAAGAGTGGAGTCACCAGGATGTTGAACAGGGAGAGGGAGGCGAAGGCCACAGCTGGAGACAGGCTCGACGACTTGTTGTGAGTATAAGCCATAAAGGTCTGTCAAGCGGAGGAAACTGTCAAAATCAACATTTCATCCACATTTACCTTCACCTATTCTTTCGAAAAGGATTAACTAACTACTTAACTGAAACACTCTTAATAGTTAATTCATTGGTGCTTCAAAATAATGATGATAATCCTGGCATTTGATACAGCGCCTTATCACGTCTTCGAGACGTCTCAAAGCGCTTCACAGAATATACTGTAAAGTGTAGCGACTGTGTATTTTGTGGGCGAAACGCGGCAGCCAATTGCACACAGCAGCGTCCCCACAAACAGTCGTGGATTGAAATGACCAAATTTTTTTTTTTTTTGGAGGGATTTTCACCCCCGGAAAAGCGATCCACCAATCCACTAACAACCGGGTTCCTATTTACTGCTAAGAGGCGTGTGGACTAAGGAAATTAGCCCAACGTTTCGCCCTGCCTGGAATCGAACCCAGGTTCTCTCTCTTCCGAGGCGAGTGCTTTAACCACTCAGCCACAGCACCCCTTAAGTTTCATGCAGTTCTCCTCTAGTGCTTTCAAATAATGTCCTTTCAACGTACCATGAGAACAGCTGCAATCGGGATGGCTGTATTCATAAAAACTGTAAAAATAAAATAAAATGTCGAGTGGTAGGACACCAAGAGAGAGAGAGAGAGAGAGAGAGAGAAACAGAGAGAGGGGGAAAGAGAGAGAGAGAGAGAGATCATTTTATCTTATAGAGTGTTACCTTCTTTCAACACAACATTAGTTTCCAAGAATGTGGTAAGCATTCTAATAATTCACAACATGCACATCCTCAAGGTAACGGGCTAACTTTCATCAATACTTACTGGATAAGGACGTGTATAGGGCAAAGGTCTTGAGGCTGGTTAATTCCTTCATTCTGGTTTTTTCCACGTTGTTGCAGAAAATGTGTTCCCAGGCGTAAAGTTTCAAAAGTTTGATGCCTTTCAAGATCTCGCTGGTGTTCTTCAGTCTTTCTGTGGAGTAGTCCTTTATGGGGATATAAAGCAAAGGTAGAGGAATGAGATTAGAAAGATTCACCATTACTTAATCAAACGGCAGAACAGGCTCATAGAACAGATCATAAAAGGGGCACCATACAAATATTGGGTTATGAAAGGAAAATGATTGTAAAACTGTATTCTTTTAACTATTCGTGAAATTCAATAGTGCATAAAAGTGAACAGTTGCAACAATAAAGCCATTCACTCAACACACAATATCATGCTATATACAATACTAGTATTTAATTAAAACAGGTAAACCAGCTCATGATCTTTGAAATAAAGCCCAACTAATTATTTAAATGAGTAGCGTGATGAATTCCTGTGCCGTTTAAAGTGAGCGACGTACGTTAGGGGAAATGGAAAACATTGGCACTTTGGGCTTTGAGTTCTCAACGGCATAACGATCACGAGATTGGTTCAGTTGAGGAAGCTCTTCAGTCCATTCAACATGAAATTAAGAGTATAAAGCGGGGCATTAATCTTCACCCTACTGGATTGCACTGTACTGGATGAACTCAACCTTCCTCACTTTGATGAACATCAGAATTCACCAAATGATAAAAACTTTGAATCAGGAATTGAATACTGACCACCGAAATTCGCACTAACATTCTCTCTTAAAACGCAGTACAAACCAAGGTGTTCTTCTGTGCATCGGCAAGCTTGGTTGCTATGAAGTATTGGAGTGGAGCGAGCATCAGGATGACAAAGGCGCCAATTAGAGCACTGTTTCCGAGCATGTAATAGAGCAGGATAACTCCCATGATAATCTGTCAAACACAATGCATAATACATTCAGCAATAGCATAACCATCAATGTCCAGACTAAGGGATAAAAGTTTTGTTCTGCGATACGACCATGACCATTGGCGAGCAGATTTTCCATCATGTGCTTGCTTTGCCAAAGGCATAATGTTGAGCAAAATTTTTACCCTTAAGTGAAGGGTAACATTTTGACAACAACAACAACTTGTATTTATACGGCGCCCCTCACGCACAGTAGAGTCCCAGAGCGCTTTAGAGCATCTCTTTTTTTACTTTTTAAACTGCTTTTCTACAGTTTTAGTGTTTTTTTTTAAAAAAAAGGCTTCCAAATCAGACTACATTCAAGAATTTTCGACAATTCTGGGCAATGTTAAATTTTAAGAAAAAATGGTTTTCTTACCCCAAAACAATGCACAACACTTGAAGCATTTAATAAGAGGGTAGATGTTGGATTCTATGCTTTAAAAGAAACCAGCGGACAGTCCTTGGAGATGGTCAGTCCTCTGAGAGTTAATAATAATAATAATCCTTGCATTCAATATAGCTCCTTATCACGTCTTCACAACAGTCTCAAAGCACTTCACAGAATATAATGTAACGTGACTGTATATTTTGTGGGTGAAATGTGGCAGCCAATTGTACACAGCATTCTCCCACCAACAGATTAAGTGACTTTTTTTTAAAAAGGGATTATTACACGCGGAAAAACGATCCACCAATCGACTATCAACTGGGTCCCTACTTACTGCTGGGGAAACAGAAGCGTTGAAGCAATGAAACTTGCCTAATGTTTCTCCCTGCCCGGGAATCGAACCCAGGTCCTCTAGCTTGCGAGTTGACCTCTATAGCTCTAAATATTGCATCTCTAGCACACATACTACTGAAGCTCCCTAGAGGGAAGGATTCTATTACCCTTGCTCAGCATCCAATTCTGTTTACGCCACATTTTCAGAACAGGGTAACTCTGGTGCACGCAAATGGTCTCTCGTATATTTTCCATTCTCTGTTAGTAGAAGCACATGATACAATACAACAATACCAAATTTACATTTATATAGCGCCTTTCACGTGGTGAGGACATCCCAAGGTGCTTAATAATAATAATCTTATTAGCAGTGCCTTGCTAAAGAGATGGATGTAGCGTTAGGTTTTGGCTGACTCTTCAGCACTCGGTAGTATTTAAAATAATGGGGAGTATTAGTCTAAGCTGCATTTTCCATTATGTCATTCTCAAGTTATGTGCAAATAAGGTAGAATCACAAAGGACAGAAATGTACATCAAACAATACAAAATACAATACTCGTAAATCCCTGACAGAGTAAAGACCTAATAGAATTACTGCCATTTTAATTCAATTGACTAGGGTAATAATAACCTCTTTAATGTTCTTGTGCCAGATGAAGTCACTTTCACACTGAGATCCAGATGTTATTTCAGACTGCCATTATGGAAACACGCAAATAAACCCATTCAAATTTGTTGTGCGTGTATCTGACCACGTAAACTATGCCAATGATTAAACCCATTTCTCAGCAGTAAGGAAATATATCGTGTGCAAAAGGTACATGCCAAAACACAGAGCAAGAACATTTCAAACAGGGTCTCTCTTGCTTAATTTACCAACGCATTACACTAGTTACTTTGGTCAGTTTCAGTATTACCATTCAATTATTATCAAAAAAATACTGCAGTGGGACTGAACTCTGGTCTGGATAAATGGTGCAAATTACTCGAAAATAAAATGTTTATTGGATTGAACGGAATATAACACAAAGGAAATTAGTCAGGAAGCTAGGGTTGAACAGAAGTAGTCAGTATAATTTCATTTGTTAAATTCAATTTGATTTTGGTCAGACGGGCGTGGAAACCCATCAGTTTGCTTAAGAACAGTCCAGCTGAACTAACAGCTTGTTGCTAAAGGATAGCCACTAGTTTGTTAACTTAATTTTCCACTTGCCTATAGAGACAAAAGCAGGTACTATCCAGTGCATTTTAGACACAAATTAGGGAAATTTACTATCAACAACCATCAAAAAGTGCAAGTTCTTTCTCTCTGATCACTGTAATAAAGTAATACTAAACCATAAAACCGTAAACCATCTTACTAAGGAAAGCAAAATGATTGTACAATGTTTGGAAAAGGCTACAATTGAACTATATCTCACGACATTTTATTTGAATCGTTTGAAATACAGATTGTGTGTGTACAAAACGAGTGATTAAGTACATTAGACGTGTTCTCTGCTCGTCAGTACATTTGCTGATGTTTAGTGATGTGCCCTTATAGTGGTATTTTCCATTGTTTGCACACTCCTTTAAAACGTCAATAAATTTAGCAGCAAGTGGAAAATAATACTGTCAAGGCCACTAAATTTACTGACGAGCCGTAGAATAAGCCCCGTAGTGCCGAAATAGACAGTAGTTTTGCGATCATTAACATAGCATTAATAATAATCCTTGCATTTGATACAGTGCCTGATCACATCTTCGAGACGTCTCAAAGCGCTTCACAGAATATACTGTTAAGTGAATTGGCTGTACATTTTGTGGGCGAAACACAGCAACAAATCGTGGATTGAGTGACCAAATGATTTTTTTTTTTTGAGGGGATTAAAAGCAAAAATGTTAACGCCTTCTTACAGAATGATTGAACTCCTATGTTCCTCTCCACACCTGCGGCAGGATTTCCTTTCTTACATATCAGGGTTTGTTAGTGAAATCTTACTTGAGGTCTCTACCTGCACTGGCATGGCCCACAGATTCGGACATAAGAACAAAAACCACATCAACTGGTTGGTTTCTATTGCAACGAGATTGTTGATTTGCCCCAAGGTCATCTCCCCCATGGACATGTTGGATGTGGACAGACGAAGGATCTTGTTGTAGATCATAGCCTGAGGAGAAAGACAAGTGGTAAACCAAGGAGACACTTTCAGCAAGAAAAGACATATTCTATTAAAAATATACAACCAGCACATTATCAACAACAACGACACCAACTATCAGAGGCCCGACTCCGCCACTACCTCACTGTCAGCCTCCCCGACTCTTCCCTCCACAGGCTGTAGATCATCCAGAAGTCTGCAGCTCGTGTCAAAAAATGTTGATTTCATTCTTTTCTCCTCTCCAAGATCCGCCAAAAGAAGAAATAAAGGGCAGATGTTGACGCCTCTCACCTCTATTGGGAGGAAAAGCTCTGAACGTTTATCAATGGCTGTTATTCTAGGATGTTTGATGAGAACTGTATTGACTGGGATGATACATATTCGATGGATCAAAGATGTCTCACAAAGTGCTTCACAGAATATCAAAGTTGGAGGAACTGAGGTTGTATGTTACTGTTATAGTCTTAGCCTTATCCTTGTGACTCTCCATTCAAAATATATTTCTTTGTTACAGTCTGATTAAAACCTGATTGTATGATACTAGACCACTCTTATTTTTATTTTTAATTCACTTTAGTCCATTTTCTCTGGAGCTGTGGGCCAAATGAGACTGACAGCAAGAGTGGGAACCCAAGCAAAGTGCTCTCAGATCTCTACCAATGTCCACTGGGAAACCTAACTCCTATTTAATACAGAGCTTAATCTGTGTGACAGTTTAGCTGAGAACCAAATCTTAGATGCAGATGCACAAACGAAAAGGCAATCGCCAGGACTGAATTAGTCTAAATTCCAACTTTTATCTGCAGTAACATCTCAAACAATTCCTACCGAATCCTTGAGAACAAGTTGCAAATTCCATAGAACACGCTTGAGCATATATATTCCCACAGGAAAGAAGCACGTCCATTAAAAAAGAAAACAGCCAGCACTTGACAAGATGCAGTTGGACAGAATGAAGTATCTTACACACCAGTAAGGCTCCACGTAAATTGATGCCCGTCTCTATAGCAACGTAGTAGGAGGCTTGTAAAAAGGTTCTCTGCAGTATGAGTGCAAGGAAGAGCAGAACTGCCAAAACATATTGGTTCTCCAGAAATTCCTTCGATGACAGGAAATAAACGCCCAAAAACGTTGCCTAAAAAAGGAAAGGTTTCAGTAGAAAGGAGGAAAGATAGCTATTATCTTAAAGTCTGACAGCAGCTGGGTTAACGTAAGCTGCAATTAAAAACCACAAAAAAGATTTCGAATGTCGGAGGCATTTATTTTGATAAAGATAGCATGGCAAATAGGAAACATTATCTGCACAGCTTATAAACGCTGTCGATTCGTTTTATCAAATATTTGTGGTTGAATTTGAGGAAAATTACTTTAACTTGTCTAACCACAGAACCTTGGCCACCCAAAATAGTCAAGTCTTCAAACCAAACAATTTAGGTACCAGATGAGTCTGGAATTTTCCATGCGGTAATGATGGCAACCTGGTTAAAGGCAGTGCGTCTTGTGAAAAAGGGTGGCACTTAGGACTTGAAGTGCCATTTGACAGCGCTTTTAAACACTTGATGGCTAAATGCATCATTATATCATCTATTCTGTACCTTTAATTTTAGTGGTGATTAGTTCAACGGACTTGTAAAACATATATCAGGAATACTAAGGAGGGGGAACCAGACAATGGGATAGTGAAGCAGAAATAATACTAACAGTGTCAGGTTTTAACTCTGAAAGTCACATCACCGCAATGGGAAGTTGTTCTGTATAAGTTTAATGCCTACCTTATTGTTATTTATTATTATTACTGTTACCTTATTGTGTGTTCCTTGTGAGAAGGATTTGTGAATGGAGGGGAGGGATTTTTTTGGGGGGGTTAATTGTTCCGTCGTTAATACATTTATTGACCAGGAGATATTGCAATCAAATCATATGCAGTGGAATCCTACTACCTGCAGAAAGTTGGGAAAACTTGTAACACTACTGTACTATAACTATACTATAGGCATAAGAGGAATAGCTGCAGCAGCACTTAGGGTAAATGGAACTTGTTAAAAAATGTGCTTTTGTTAACAATTCTAGGAAAAGTCTTGTTAAATCAGCTGCTTTCACTGCTGGTTGAGCAAAATGAACTCTTTCATTGATCAATCAATCAATCAATCAATCAATCTCTCTATTGTGCTATTTTTAAACAATATGACCGTAATCTAGATTTCAGAGAAAAAAATGGATTTTAGTAAAATTCTGTTACTTACTGTGTCTGTATGGTTCCCCGAGGTGGCAGTGCTATTATCCTGAGGGGAAATCACAGCCAAATGGAGCTCTGTGAACCTCATGTATATTTGATCAGTATTACCCGACTGTTTTTTTTTGCCAACTTGCTCTTTTACTATAAAGAAACATTTTGACGTGATAAGGCCTTGTCAAACCAAATGAGCGGTGGTTATTTATATATTATTATGATATTACTATTAATATAATACATATTAATATAATACATATTAATATTGACATATTAAATACACCAATTTGGATCTTTTAACAAGAATGTAAGGTTGACATCCTGCTTCTACAGTCAACACATAACATCTCATTTACTTTCGAGAGGAGATAGTCGCAAATAATGAATCGATTCGGTACACGGCAAACTCACCGTGGCATTGGGTTGACCTAACTTGCTAAGGTGATCGACGATTTTAAAGATGCAGAGTGGTCCAGCAAAGCCTAAGAGGTCGGCCAGATAGCGGAATGTGCTGCTAAGAAAGATTGGGCGACCGTAAGCCCTGTATATCGAATGCCATATTGATGGAGGATATCCCTCTAGATTGTACACCTTTTTCTACATATGAAAATAAAAGCGTTGCTGTTAATTCAAGAAGAACAACTGCAATATTGATCTTCTGCATGATAGATTTGCACAGGATCACCCATTCTTAAAAGCTGCACTAGTTTTAAATCAATCAATACAAAGGAAACCACATTTATGTGTTTGAATAAAGTATCTCAAATGTGTGCAAAAGACCCACAAGAAAGTGGTATGGTAGCTGATAATAATAATAATAATTATAATAATAATAATAATCCTTGCATTTAATATAGCGCCATATCACGTCTTCGAGACGTCTCAAAGCTCTTCACAGAATATACTTTAAAATGAATTGACTGTGTATTTTGTTGGCAAAACGCGGCAGCTAATTGTGCACAGCAGCGTCCCACAAACGATCGTGGATTGAGTGACCAAATTATTAATATTATTTATCTTGAAAGGATTACTACCCCCGGAAAAGCGATCCACCAATCAACCGACAACCGGGTTCCCACTTACTGCTGGGTAAACAGAGATGTGTGGAGTCAGGAAACACTTGGTATTGTGGTACAGGAATGATACCCGTAAACTAAGGTTTACTCAAACCAATGTGCCGGGGACATCCTTTGTGGATTCTCTGACCCACAAACACAATCCAGATAAAACTCCAGAACATCCCTCACTTGTAGTTTCAGAACCCAGGGGTTTAAGAGCGCAAAGGATTCTAGCCACAATAATTATGCTTCCTGTGTTCAATTAAAATCCTTCTCTTTTGTCCCAAGGCCTCCCCTATTATTTTTTTGTCCAGCGGAATACACGTTCATATTCCTTTACACATGTTGCTTGAACGACAGCAACTCTTGACAACGCAAAATAGCAATTCAATGCTTTACCTTTTGCTCTTCATAAGCGTCTTTCAAACAGACATAATTTGTGAGAGCTCTCATGGCGATGGGAAGCTTGCCAATGATTTTCAGGTCTATTGGCCTCTTCTGTGCTGAAATGATGAGGGTGTTCAGCCACCAGTACGTTGCCTTCGATAGTAAATTGACAAACGGTTGCAGGAATCGGACACCGAGATCTTGCAGGTCCTCGGGAGGTTTTACCTTCTTGGGGATTCCAAAGAAAACGTATTTCTATGAAAATAAGCAAAAAAGTAAGACACAGGCAAATTAAAACGAAATGTCCCCCACCCGGCCCCTCTCCGCCATCAGTGGTCGGGCCTTCAGCCTCTCTGCCTCCACCCTTTGGAAATCCATCCCACAGTCCCTTTGCCTCGCTCCCTCCCTCCCTCGCCTCCATCAAGGCACGTCTCAAGACCCTCCTCTTCAACCATGCCTTCAGCCACCAGCCCACCCCTACCCTCCCCGCCCTCCACCCCCTCCCTGATCCCAATCCCTAGCTCGGGGTCAAATCCCTGACCGTCCAGTGCCTTGGGATGTCCTCCCAACTTGAAAGTTGCTGTTTCTAAAAAATTTTGCCTGTGTATCAGGAAACAGCTGAACCGCATTATTTTTTGAACAAATTGGTAGATTACGTCTAAATCAACACAACATGTGTGTGTGAAACGAGGCTGCAATTCTTTGGTTGGATGAGTCTGCTGTGCGAGCGTACAAAAATGACACATCTTTTATCTCTAACTGTTAGACAATGATTACGGTAAAGATATATTATGTGTTTATAGCTGATGGATCTTTTTACAGGACTGACAGTTACACTGGAAATAAAAGGCGCATTCAACTAATAATCTGGTTGGCGCTTGGGTGAGGATTTATTATTTGATTATAATACTTTTCACAAGATCTACAATCGACTTCGCTGCATTGTTGAAAATGTTCTAGCCTGGGAGCCTTTTGAAGTGTGAACGTAAGTGGCAGTAACTTGCGAGGTTTACGATAATAAAGCTCTGGGACCCCACCACTGAGTATAAGTTGTTGTTTTGGTAATAGGAAAGTATCACAGCATTAAATTTCATTTCGCCCACGAAACACACAGTCAATTGACTTTACAGTATATTCTGTGAAGCGCTTTGAGGCGTCTCGAAGACGTGATAAAGCTCTATATCGAATGTAAGGGTTATTATTAATATTATTATTATTATTATGATACTGTAAAGCACAGTGACTGTGTGTACTGCGGGACATGGCAACCCAAGGAGTAAAATTTCACCTGGTTCTAAATTTACTTTATTGATGTAGCATTTCAGAGCAATCCAGAATTTGTCAAATGCTTTGATACAGTTTTTAATTTTGAATTAAATGATCGCTGGCAATACATACTTACCCTCACTATGATTACATTGACCTCCACCGCCATCAGCGATCCATAAAGGATGACCAGCATTACTGTTATACAGAACCGTAGCTGAGAAAGGCCCACACCGTGATCACAATACTTCACCAGCTTGATAGTTTTGGTGATAAAAGCGAGGATCCAATAGATAAAGAGAGCTGTACACACACACACACACACACAGACACGCACAAGTTATAATCCGTCCTCAACCATAAATAAACTTTTACAGCTAAATATATATTGCGCAATTGCTCTTTTTTAAATAAAGCTTCAACATTGCTCAAAAGTTAAGAGAAATAAATCTTGCCTATTTATTTCAAAAGTTGTTGAGATATTTATTCTATCTTAATGCGTTCAATACTGCATTCCAATATACCTTATTCTCTTGTAAATGCTATATTTATAATTAGTAAGTCAGTAAATTAAATTATTATTACTTCTCTCAAAAAAGCAAATAAATAACATATTAACATGTTAAGAGATTTTAAGCCTACGCAGCGTGCTTTACAAGTGTAATTTATTGTTGTTGTGTTGTATGCAATCTATTCTAGAATGCTAACAGAAAAAATGCTTAAAATGCGGTTTACTAACCTAATAGTAACTTTGGAAAATTGGAGGTTTCTATATTATGATAGTAGACTATCGATGTAGTTGCAGCTATAAATCCCATAAACGAAGGCATAAATAGATGGAGGTGTCGAGTAATCATTTTTCTGTTACAAGAAAAACAATCAAATAACAGTAAATAACGTGAAATTTTAGTAATTAAATATGTGAGTTAACTCCTCTGCTCCTCTGGCAGAAAACATGGCATAATTCTCAACTGTAAAATATCAAACAACTGGAATGTTCAGAAGGATTCAACCAACCCATCTTGTATCTGTCCCACTCAGATGATTTGGAAATCATTTGAGTGTTTTTAAGAATAAAAATCACATTAATCTTAAATAAATAATGTCAAAACATCTTAAACTGCTTTACAGGTAATTGGTATCAAGTGTTAGTGTCTACATTTAGAGATAAACATGGCAGCCAATTTGCCACAGATAAGGTCCCATGAGCAGCCATGAAATGATGTTCAATTGATCTGTTGGTCAGGATAGTGTGAGAATGAATTGGAGCTTGTTGAGGCTGGTGAGGAGAAGCCTAATGTTGAGGTACGAAGGCATGCATGAAGATTTTAGCGGCAGGGAGGTTCAGATAAGATGTAAGTGAGTATTTTATTCTCTATTCTGGGCAAATATTTGAATATGTGGAGTCCTGTAACTCAGTGGCTAGAGCCCTCGCCTCGCAAGTGAGAGACCCAGGATTGATTCCCTGGCAGGTTGAAACCTTGGGCAAGTTTCCTTACTCCGCACGCCACTGTTTGCCCAGCAGTAAGTAGGAACCTAGTTGTTAGTCGATCGGTTGATCGCTTTTCTGGGGGTGATAATTCCTTCAAAAAAAATAATAATTGGTCACTTCAATCCACGGCTGTTTGTGGGACGCTGCTGTGTGCAATTGGCTGCCGCATTTCGCCCACAAGATACACAGTCAATTCACTTTACAGTCTATTCTGTGAAGCGCTTTGAGACGTCTCGGGGATGTGATTAGGCGCTGTACCAAATGCAAGGATTATTATTATTATTATAATTAGAAGTGAACCCACAGTTTTGTAATGCACATTCTGTGTGTTGCCCGTATGTACCATTTAGAATTCTCTACGTCTATAACAAGTATGTCAGCAGTATCAGAACAATAGCAATGTAATATGTTATAGTGTTATGGATGTACTATAGGGTCTAATTTGTATGAAGGCATGATTTAACGCCTTATCACGTCATTTGGACCTCTCAAAGCTTCATAAAGAATCCCATTAGGAGTCCCACTGACTGGTGGAACTTAGCTCTGAAAGCAGATCATAACAGAATGGAGATCCCGGGTTGGGATTAGTTAGTTCTGTTTACTAAAGGATATCCTATTTTCTGACTCAGATTTTTTCTTAAGAAACCCCATTAATGAACACTACAAATTGAACTACTATTTAAACTGATAATAATTTGGTCACTCAATCCACGGCTGTTTGTGGGACACTGCTGAATGTAATTGGCTGCCGCGTTTCGCCCACAAGTATACAGTAGTTTCACGTTACAGTGTATTCTGTGAGAGGTCTAAACGACGTGATAAGGCGTTATATCAAATGCAAGGATTATTCTTATTATTATATTCATATTTTGTTTTTTACGATTTTAAGAAATGTTAACGATGTGACAGATTCGAACCCTTACTTATCTGAAACCATTCCTTCCGCAATTTCACAGACAAGCACGAAGAGAAGCACAAACGTGAGAATCCATCGTAAACTGTGCCCAGGGAAATGCAACCAAGTGTTGTGATGAATCTGAACCTTTGAGCTCTGGCTCCCCCATCCTGAAATTCAAACACACAAGATATTTCTGTAGAAACACAAATGGCGTGAAGAGTTAATCAAACATCCTACCTACACATGGAGATAAGATTGTCGGAATGGAATGCGCTCTCTTTCTCTCCCTGGAGGGATGCATCCCACTTACCTAATTCCAGAAAGTATTAGGCGTAGGTTGGCAGGAGCTAAGGCTTGGGGACCAGAATGTGTGTAGGGGGTAACTGCTGGTGTATAACTAATTAAAACCACACAGCTTGCCACTGATATCACTGCCTGGCAAGCTTTCGCGCTGTTTGTCCAGCTAGGACCACCCTACCCATTAGGGCTTTGACTTGCAGGTTAACGGGAGCTGAGCGGGATGCCCCCAGTTAAACAACACAAACGGGAATGGGAAATGGCTCTGCAGTCATAGCTGGAGGAGCAGCAGATAAGGCAACCTCAAGGCGATGCCACAAATTCTGCCTGGCCTCTCAGATGATGATGGCAGATGGCGTTGTAGAAATTCAGAATAGTCTCTTCAGGGGGGTTCTGATCGCAATGCTGAGGCCTCAAATCAAATGGCAGTGTGGCAGATAATAACATCAAGAGTGAATGTAGTCAGTGTCATCGAACTGACATACTTGGATGTTATGATAAACAATTGAGAAGGAGTGCGAGGTTCACATTTGCTGGAGTTAAGGTTTTGTAGTCAATGTGGCCAACTGTGCGATATTCAGCACATAGCTAATGTCTCTATAAGCTCCATGATCATTAGATCCCAATTACGCAGGTCTTCATATCTTTGAGATTTCTTAACGCCAGTTTTGCCGTTGGCTGTTTTGCTTGCTTGTGTTTTATTTATATTCTATCTTCCTCCCTCATATGATTTTGTTTGATTATCTTTGAAGATCAAGGAAGCAAAACCTGTCCCCAGGCGAGACAGTGGGTCGGCTGGGTTGAGTCTATGATGGAGTAGATTTGCAGTGATCCTGGGAACGACTGTACTTGATAATCCAAATGCGTGTTTAAGAATTGTGGGAATTGCGTGCCTTTGGTCACCTTCCCCCCCCTCCCCAGGCTCGGTCCCGGGATCCATTACTGTGAAGCGCTCTGAGACGCCGTCCGGCGTGGAGGGCGCTATATAAATCCAAGTTGTTGCTGGTATTGTCGTTGAAACTGATTTTTAAATTAAGGCCACATTTAAGTTTCCCCACAATTCCGCACAATCTTAAATTGTAAGGCAAAAGAGCCTTCCTCACGAGATGGAATTTCGGGCCTGTTGTTGTATTTTTAATTTGTATTGGGCCAGAAGAAAGTATGTTGATTGGACTGTTTTCTAGTCCACTTAACCACAACATCAGCAAAAACATCATCAGCTACAAATCTGTCACACCTCTGCCTCACTTTCCACCCTCCCCTTCAATACCAGGTTAGGAGGTTTTCTTGAATCATATGTATCTAACTGAAATAGATTTAATCCAATTGTCCATTTTTAACTTTAAGATGCCACATTTCTTTCTTTTTGACAAACTAACAAGCTGAGCAGACACGTCCAATTGAAAACACACCCTGTTCCTAAATTCATATGTGGGAAAAAAACTATGCCAGATCAATATCACTGGACCTGAATTCCTGGAAGAGACCGGAATAGCATAGGGCAATCAAACACTACATTAATAACTGCTTAGACTGGAATACTGAAGGCAAAGAAACTTGCAGTAATAGCTGTTTGGAACAAGAATAGCACCGGCAATTAAACTACAATGATTGCTGTTTAATTGCGAGGAGGTCACTGAACTCTGAGCTTCACAAGAATGTGAAAGTGTATGGAGCAAAGATATATCACTTCCACCTTCATTCCCAATTGCACCCACAGTCCAATCTACCCTGTGATATACTATCTATCTACCTACCTACCTACCTACCTCACTATCTATCTATCTATCTATCTATCTATCTATCTATCTATCTATCTATCTATCTATCTATCTATCTATCTATCTATCTATCTATCTATCTATCTATCTATCTATCTATCTATCTATCTATCTATCTATCTATCTATCTATCTATCTATCTATCTATCTATCTATCTATTTAATAAGCACCCAGCTCTGCAGCAGAAAGGCAGCATTGTGGATTACAGACACAGACATACACGAAAGCAAAGGTTCCCTTGTTACAGAACAATTGGATGGATGTATTTATCATTAATTCATTGATTTATTCACCATTCCAACGTTGTTATCACTCCACGATCTCCCTCTCTCTCTCTCCCCCTCCTCCCCCCCCCCCCCCCCGCTGAAACAACGCCAGGTTTTACTTACCAATGAATAGTATCGGGAAGGTGATAAAGAGCAGAAAGACATGAGGGACCAGATTCAGAGCATCCACGAAACAGCCGTTGTTTAAAACACCATCTGCGACATCGTAGGCTGAAAAGTTGTCATTCCCACAGAAGGAAAGGGCCATAACTGCCAAGTGATCCTGAGCAAAGCAATCACAAGCTTCTCTGTGGCCTCACCATTTTCCCCCTTTTTTTTGTAATAAAAGATAAGGACCCGATGAAAGAACAATCTTTGGACCATTCAGTACAGTCTGGGCAGAAATTGCAGCAAAGCGACTCAAGCTATTTATATATATATATATATTTATACAGAGAGAGAGAGAGAGTTACACATGACGTTCAGGCAATGAACACACTGATGTGTAACTGATCCGCCCCCTTCTGGACCAAATACATCCACACAGAATCTCCCTCTCTCCAAACCTGGGCCGTGTCTGACAATTTCCCGGTAGTTATTCAGATAATTTTATTGTTCACTGATTCACAGCAAATCTGCCACCCCCCCACTTCCCCACCCAACTGATTGCGGTATTGATTAACAGGAGAATCGATAATAATAATAATAATAATAATAAGATGACAATAATAATTCTTGGGTTTGATGTAGCGCCTTATACCATCTTCGAGACGTCTTAATGGATGGGGATGTGTATGAGTTGCTGAATAGAGTTTTAATATTAAGGATTTATTAATTCCGAATACTGTAATATATTCTAACCACAGGCAATTTACGAATGCAGGCTGTTGGGAAACTTTTGTACATTGTACATTTCGCCTACAAGATACGCAGTCAATTCACTTTACAGTATATCCTGTGAAGCGCTTTGAGACGTCTCAAAGACGTGATAAGGCGCTGTATCAAATGTAAGGATTATTATTATTTTATTTTCCTTGCCGTGGATTTAAACGACAAGCTTTTATTGAAACTAGGATTATTCCCTCGCTACAATAATAATACAGTATTAATATATAATACAGTAATAATAATATAATATAATAATAACATATTACTAAACATTACTAATGCATTATTAGTACTAATAACTCAGTGCTTGCATTTGATATAGCATCTTTCAAGTCGGGAGTATGGCTCAAAGCGCTTCACAGGATTCACAGCAGTAAATGTATTTTGTAAGCAAATAGCACAGCCAAACCGCACACAAGAAATAAAGTGAAATATTTGGGGAATTGTTTGCCAGGACAGTGGGAGAAATTATTTTCTCTTTTGAATAATGCCACGGTATTTTAAGTATTCAACTGAAAGTCACAGGGAGATAGGACCTTGATTTGAACCCTGTAAACCGCAAGGGTCAAAGAACAGTGTGGTGCAATAATAATCCTTGCATTTGATATAGCGCTTTTCACGTCGGGAGGACGTCCCAAAGCGCTTCACAGAACACACTGTAAAGTGAATTGACTGTATATTTGTGGGCGAACGCGGCAGCCAATTGCGCACAGCAATGTCCCACAAACAGTCGTAGATTGAAAATGACCAATTTATTATTGTTTTTGGTTTTGGAGGGATTATTATTAGGCTCTGTGTGGAGTAAGGAAACTTGCCCAAGGTTTCGCCCTCTGCCTGGAATTGAACTCAGGTCTCTCATCTGCAAAGCGAGTGCTCTAACCACTGAGCTACAGGACTCTATGTAGTACAGTATCTACAGTAGCAATGCCTCGAAGTCACCCTAAACGGTGAACAGAAATACTGCATGTTTTCCTTACATTTAGATTTTTACTAGAGATAATATTGAGCTAAAATAACAATACAAAAAACCATTGGCTTATAAACCCTTTTCAGATATTACAATAAGATTTGCTTAAATCTGAATCTGTGTATCATTAATAATAATAATAATCAAAACATAATTAATAATAATACATCATTAATAATAATAATAAATTAATAATAACGTTAATAATCAATTCATTTCCCAGTATATTCTGTGAAGCGCTTTGAGACATCTCAATGACGTGATAAGGTGCTATATCAAATGCAAGGATTATTATTATCATTATTGTCATCATTATAATTGTCCCAATTCAATGTAGAGTCATTTACAAGAGCAAAAAAACATTAAGACCATGATCAGTTGTGGATCTGAACAGACCCAGAAGCCTTCAGACCAGAGTTTTGCAAAGATTAACTTCAATAAGGCAAGATTTCAGCTTTAACTATGCCCTGAAACTACGAAACTCTGCTCCTCAATGGAATAATCCCTCCACTTTGCCTCCTCCTTCCCCATCTTCAGATCACACCCGAAGACCTTCATCTTCAAGCATGCCTACGGTCACCTCCCTTCTCTCTTTGGCTCGGGGTCAAGCTATGTCACCACTCTTAAGCTCTCCAAGACACTAACCCAGATCAAATTCCTATCTTGGAAAGCCTGGAAATATGAGTACTGGGAAACGTCAGAAATCACATCGAAATTCCAAGTAATAAAGAAAACACCAATCAATCAATTCCAAATCACAAGCAGCTGATACAGAACATTAAACAAGGAGCAGATACAGAAACCAAATGAAAGCTACCTTTTGAATCACCCTGAATCTGAACAGACCCCACTCTTCGCTCATTCCTTGCATATACCAGACATTTGCTTCTGCAGTCGACACGGAAGCTAAAGCTGATTATTTTTAGGTGGTCACAGGTCAGATGTCTAAACTATCGAATTACCAAGCCACTTCTTTATTGGGTCCACTCTTATTCCAACATCCCAACTGAAGAAATGCCAAGGGCAGTGCAGTATCCTGAGCAATTTGCTGCAGTGTTGGAGGTGCTGTCCTTTGGATGAGACACTAAACCAAGTGCCTTATCTGCTGGTTCAAGTGGATGTTATGGATCCCATAACACGGTTAACACAGAGAAATTAGATTTTCCTAGTGTTCTGACCAACCGTCTTCCCAAATAAAAATGGTCATTTATTTCATAGCTGTTGAAGAGTGCAAATTAGTTGCTATGTTTGCCTCCAAAGAATCCCTAAAATCGTGAGGATTTCACTTTACATTCAGGATGACCGATGATTACTGGGAGACGTCAGTCACATTTTTTTTCTCTCCCGTTAAAAAAGGAGGAGACGCAACAAAGGGGCTTGTGGCTGTGGATAATTTAATAATAATAATAATCCTTGCATTTGATATAGCGCTTTTCACGTCGGGAGGACGTCCCAAAGCGCTTCACAGAACACACTGTAAAGTGAATTGACTGTATATTTGTGGGTGAACGCGGCAGCCAATTGCGCACAGCAATGTCCCACAAACAGTCGTGGATTGCAAATGACCAATTTATTATTTTTTTGTTTTGGAGGGATTATTATTTAGGACACTGGACTGGAACTGGTCCTTAGTTCCCAGATTGTAATCCAAGCTGAGCTGCAAGCATAATATGTGTTGCACTATAATCATTCAACAACAACAACAAATTGCATTTATATAGCTCCTTTCTCGTTGTATGGATGTCCAAAGGCACTGGTCAGTGAAGGGTTTGCACTTGAGCTGGGGGTTGGAATCAAGAGAGGGGGTGGGGGCGAGGAGGATGGAGGGAGGGTCATTGAAGTGACAGCTAAAGAGGAAGGTCTTGAGATGGCCTTGAATGAGGCAAAGGGAGGGGTGAGGCAAAGGGACTCTGGGATGGAGCTCTAAAGGGTGGGGGTAGAAAGGCTGAAGGACCAACCATCAATGATGGGCGGGGACATGAAGCAGGCCAGTGCCTGCAGAGCGGAGGGAGCGACAGGTTGGTAATGGTTTAGCAGGTTCAAGAGGTAGGGAGGAGCAAGACCTTGGAGGGCTTTAAAAATGCGGACGTAGATCTTGAACTCCATCCTCTGGAGGATGGGGTGCATTCTTTCGACTATCTGGATAATCTGGAGCTTTAAAACGTGTCATCCGATCTCTGATCAAATCTGGCTTCATCCTGCCTGCAACATTGCCCGCTTCTAACCCTACCTCAGCCCCAGAACATTCAAAACTCTCATCCAAACCTTTGTCACCTTCAAACTTGGGTTCTCCAATGCGCCACTCACCAGTCCTTCCAGCTCTAGATCCAGATCATCCAGAGCTCCACATTCCCTTTCACACAAGGCTACACGAACCCATTACCCAATCCTCACTATGCTCCACTGACTGCCTACTTGACTGTGAGTTAAATAATAATATTAATTCTTGCATAATAATGCAGAATGCCCTCCTGCATGTGCTGGCAAGGCAGGATCCATATTAGCCTTTAAAGGGAACTAGCTAGATATCTAAAAGAGAATGAGTTACAGTGGTATGTGAAAAAGGCAAGCAAATGGGCCTAAATGGATCGCTCTCAAAGAGCCAGCACAGTTATTATAGGCCAAATAGTCTTCTTCTTTGTTGCAAATTTCTATGGTTCTGTTCCCCGGTGAATCAAAATTAAGATCCTCGTTCTCACCTTAAATAGCCTCCACTCTACCACCTTCCTCAGTCCTACTTGGTGCCTCTGCCCCCTTCGCTCCACCATCAGTGGCCAAGATTTCAGTCGCTTTGCCCCATTCTTTTGAACTCTCTCCCAAAATTCCTCCACCTTGCTTCCTCCCTCTCTACTTTTAAAGCCTTTCTTTTAGATTTTACCTACCATCTACCCTTCCTATCTTTCACTCAGCTCGAGATACCACTCTGTCTTTGTAAAGCACTTTGAGATATTTGCCTACATGAGAGGCACTATATAAATAAAAACTGTTAATAATATATAATTTTTCAGCAGATAGTTTTTCACTCACAAACTCATCTATCTTATCTTTTAGGGAGACAAGAGCACATATTTATTGCCGTCAGTTCTGAATAGTTTGGGAGGAAGTTAATCTATCAATTCAAATCTCATTTGAAATTGCTGCTCTGTCAAATTGAAATGAAGTCGTTGACATGTACTAAAAGAACATCTACTAAAACTCATGTCATGTCAAAGGATTAAACTCTGGATTTGGGGGATTTGGGGGCGCATAAGCCTAACATTCCCCTCAGCTCAATGTTCAAAGGGGTTTTGAACTTAGAAACTCTTAAACGACAACAAGGTTACATTTGTATAGCGCCTTTCACGTCAGGAGGACGTGATATCTCATTCAAGCTCTCATAAACAGCTTGAATAACCTGCCTCAACGATTGTACCCATAATGTAATCTAACTGTTCCTAACCTTGGGACGTCCTCCCGACGTGAAAGGCACTG